TCCATCTACCCATTTACCAGAGACACAAGTAGTTATTACTGACAGTAGTCATTGTAAAGCAAGTTCCTTTGAATTCTTTTGTTTCCTTCTTCTTTGTCACAGTCAGGTGATCCACTTGACACAGGACAGAGATTTTGAAGTAAATCTTTAAACAAACTTTCTTGGATCTAGAGGAGGAAGATCCAAAACCCAACTCCAAAGCCAGCTTTCCAATAAAGCAGAACAGCATAAAACAGCTTTAATATTATCTGCATCCAAAAGATATTTGAATCCCTGCTAAACTGAATTCAATGACCAGAAAGGCCAGAGATAAATTCTGAGCCCTGGCCATCAAAGCAGGCATGGCAAATGGCTTTCGTGGTGGTGGCCAGCAGCTGGCAGCAGCAGAGAAAGCAAAAATTAAACCAATGAACACAAACAGCTCAGATGCTCAAAGACCAGTCAGAAACAAAATAGGCAGTGGCCACCATCATCCCTACAATCCTCTGAACCTGACCCATTCTCATCCTGGCTCCTGCGTTTTCCCCATGGCTTACAGACACAGCAGACCCATCCGCACTCTTAAAACACATAGAGAAAACCTCCCAAACAACCAGGACCCGGCAGACAGGCAACATCCGCTTTTGCCCTGAGTGAGCATGTAAGGATTTTGAAGTTAGGTGAGAGGAAGATTGTGTTGGGCTGGATGGGGTTTGGAGGCCCTATACTCAGGGATGCACCCGGGAATCTGATGGGGGACAAGGTGTGTCCGGCTGTGTAATTTGGAGAAGGAGAGAAATAATTGGTGAGCCTATGGTCAAGCAGATTGTAGGAGTGGAGGAGATAAAGGCTCGCACTTTGGCTAAGAGGTCCTTTCCCAGTAAGATGATGGCACGGGTTGGTACTACTGAGGGGTAAGGCAAATACCCCTAAAGATAGAGCTAAGTGCTGGGGTTTGGTGAGGTTAATAAGGCTGTCCTCCAATTCCAACGACAGAGAAACAAGGAGAGAATGTGGGTCACCAAGCATCTGTCAGGACCGAGTAGGTGACCTCATTGTCAAGGAGGACGGAGCTGAGTCGCCCTAATACTGTGATGACAACTCGGGGCTCCCTGTCAGAAATGGCAGTGTTCTGGCTAAGCGAGCCGAGCCCCCTTAGTCATCCATCACAAAGCCTAAGAGGTCGGCTGGAAAGTGACCTGGACCTGACGTGCTCATGCCGTGAGGAACATGTGGGCAGTTAACATCCCAGTGTCTACCTTCATGGCACCTTGGATATGGTCAAGGTGGTTTAATAGGGATCTGTCAAGCCCGGGCCCAGTGACCCTTCTGACCTCATTTGAGGTGTGGATCTAGAGGTCCTCAGGTTTTGGCAGGCAAGGGAGCCTGGAAAGATGCTCTGTCTGTCTGAAAGGCCTTAGCTAGCATCAGAGAGTTTTGTTGTCAAGCTTTTTTTTGTTTCTCCCATGGTTCACTTTGAAGGCCACTGCTAAGACTTCTGCCTGTAGAGTTAGAGTCCCCTCTCTAGAGGATTAAATTTGGCCATAACGTCAAGGGAACTCTGATATTATGAAGAACCAGCCCAAGAGGCAAGGTGTCTGCACTTGTCTGTATGTGCTCTGATCTGGTCCCAGACTCGCCTGCAGTCCTCAGAGAGAATGTCACAGAAATGTCATCAAAAATCATTAGAACAGTGTGACCCTGGGGAAGAGCGGTGATGGTGAGAATCACAAACATCCTGGGAAGTGAGAAAGTGAGGTCGTAAGATTGGTAATCTGTTAGAATCATCTAACGAAGGTTGGAAGAATTATTGGTATAGTGAAAGAGAAGACTGAGCAAGGAGGACTCCATGATGGGCTTCAGACTGGCAGGTCAGGAGACTAGGCAAATTCAGGCAAGTCGTAACTGGAAAACCCCAGGTCTCAGGCAGCCATCCAAAACTCCTCTGCCTTCAGAAGCTCTCCTGCCACCTGGCCTGAGGTAAGGGCAGTGGATCAGCAACAGTTTCCAGGCTTCCCCAGCAATAGTTTGCAGGCTTCCCCAGCATCAGTTTCCAGGCTTCCCCAGCAACAGTTTCCAGGCTTCCCCAAAAACAGTTTCCAGGCTTCCCTAGCAACAGTTTGCAGCACCACTCCCCAACCCCCCAACAATGGTTCTGGAATGTCCCTAGATATAAAGCCAACCAATTAAGATAAAGATACCCCCCCCCAAAAAAATGCCAGGCGGTGGTGGCGCACGCCTTTAATCCCACCACTCAGGAGGCAGAGGCATGTGGATTTCTGAGTTCAAGGCCAGCCTGGTCTACAGAGTGAGTTCCAGGACAGCCAGGACTATACAGAGAAACTCTGTCTTGAAAAACCAAAATAAATAAATAAATAAATAAATAAATAAAGATCACTTACCCCTCCCTGGAATTCTCCTAATGTGCTTTAAATTGGGCTTGTGAGCTCTCACTTGGGCAACTCCATCTTGGTAAACAATAGACCTCAGCATGCTGGACTTCTGTAGAATAGAAGCCCTTTGCTTTTGCATATTATTTTAGTCTGGTATCATTCTTTTTTTTTTTTTTTTTTTAGAAAGGGTTTCTCTGTGTAGCCCTGGCTGTCCTGGAACTCACTCTGTAGACCAGGCTGGCCTCAGACTCAGACATCTGCCTGCCTCTGCCTCCCAAGTGCTGGGATTAAAGGTGTGTGCTGGCCGGGCGGTGGTGGCGCACGCCTTTAATCCCAGCACTTGGGAGACAGAGGCAGGCAGATTTCTGAGTTCATGGCCAGCCTGGTCTACAGAGTGAGTTCCTGGACAGCTATGGCTCCATGGAGATAGCCTGCCTTCAAAAACCAAAAAAATAAAAAAAATTTAAAATGATGAGGAGTATGGTCACATGGCAAAATCCATCCTTTCCAATCTTAACAAAGATGGCTGCCCCCATCTGGATGTAGGAACATCTGCTAAAATAGATACAAGCCATACCTTTCCTTTAGGATTACCTATGTATAGATTTTTACTCTCAACCTGGTTGTTAGGAGTCTTAACTCATTGTTACAAATTTTTAATCATAACCACACTGCAAGTTTTATAATAACTTGTAAAATATGACATGAAGAGCAATAGTCTTTCTGTATTTTCTGGATCAAAGTGGTGGACAGGTGACTTGGCTTTGAAAAAATTTTCTGCACCTCATTCTACTACTGGGGACTTGTTAGTAACATTGAAATTCCTCTTCCCTACATTGCCAATAAGACAGGATCTAACTTTTATCTAGAGAAAGTTACAAAATATTGGGTTTTGTTTTGCTTTTTTTTTTTAACTTTTTTGCTCATTGAATGTTTTGCACTCTTGCACTCTAAAAAGTCTTGTCTTTACAAAGACACATTAGAGCCGGGCGGTGGTGGCACACGCCTTTAATCCCAACACTTGGGAGGCAGAGGCAGGCGGATTTCTGAGTTTGAAGCCAGCCTGGTCTACAGAGTGAGTTCCAGGACAGCCAGAGCTACACAGAGAAACCCTGTCTCGAAAAAAAAAAAAAAAAAAAAGACACATTAGTTACCTTACTGAATGAGCCTCAAGCCCCCCTCCATAACAACACCATGTTGTTACCCCCTTTTACCTTCACATTTATTTTTGGGACAGGTAGACCAGATTGTCTCTAACTCACAGGTATCCACTTGCCTCATCCTTCTGGGTGCTGGGATTAAAGACAAGTGCCACCAGGTCCACCATCCTTTATTCCATGAGTATGCATGTTTTGCCTGCATATATGTCGGTGTGTCTGGTGCCCAAGGCCAGAAGAGGTCATGGATTCTTTGGAAATGGAGTTACAGAAGGTTGAGAGGCGCCATGTGGGTGCTGGGAACCAAACCTGAGTCTTCTAACAGCTGTACGATCACTCCAGCCTTTGACATTCATCTGGTGATGAACAGCTGGCCATGACATTAGCGTTCTGACTGGACTAGTTTCTTAGTGTGTGTCAACATTATGTCCCAATCCTCGGGTACTTACTAATTCCTTGCAGAGTCCCACTGTACTGAAGTGGTGTAGTGACGTGTAGAAGAGACACAGAGGAAATAAGAAAGTCTCCTTGCGGGCTAGAGAGATGGCTCAGTGGTTAAGAGCACTGACTGCACTTCCAGAGGTCCTGAGTTCAAATCCCAGCAACCACATGGTGGCTCACAACCATCTGTAATGAGATCTGATGCCCTCTTCTGGTGTGTCTGAAGACAGCTACAGTGTATTCATATATAATAAATAAATAAATCGTTAAAAAAAAAAAAAAAAAAAGAAAGTCTCCTTGCCCATGAGCCAAAGGTGTAGTAGGATAAAGGCTGTGGCGACACCTTCAAGTGCTATTAAATAATGACATTGTCCTAGGCTAGAGCATAAAACAACACTGCTAGAATGTGGCAACGGGAGTAAAATCTGTGATACTTAAACAAGTGAAGGCTCGGAGATAAAAATGAAGCATTTCTAGTTTCTGGCTCGAGTGTTTACTCAATTGGTGCAAACACTTTGTAAATCTCAAAGAGCCCCCTAGCGGCTACTGGGAGCGCATACCTATTCATTGTACGGATAAAGAAGCCGAGATGCAGAAATGTAAGGAATTCAAAGGCTCACAGAGTCAGAGACACATTTTTATTTCCCCAAATCCTTCACAAATAACCGCTACCCAAATGTGAGCGCCAAGTCGGTCCTTCAAGTCTCCGGGATAAAAGCATCACCTAAGCAAGGCTGTCAACTTCCGTAGAGCCCATGCCGGAAGTGTGGCGTCGGTGCCATAGCGGAAGCTGCAGGTGCTTGTGGGAAGTTCTTACATTATTCACAAGAGGGCGGGTTCGAGACCCCACAGCCTAACTGAAAAAGGCTCGATCTAAGACTAGTATCAGACTCTAGAAAGCTTAGAAAAGATGCGAAGGAAACTGGAGGGTTTTTTTTCTGGAATCATGGTTAGCAAGACCATTTTTTAGAAACTCACAGCCGCTAAGGAATCTCGGGCTGCCTGAGTCCTCCAGCGTGAGCGAGAGTCCCATCTCTATGATCAAGCAGAAATAGAGGCGGGCCGCTCTACCCCGCCTGGTGAGGCTGCGCATGAGCAGTAGCTGAAGCACTGGAAAGATGGCGGAGGAAGGGTGAGTGTGTTGGTCTTTGTATCTCTCTAGTGGGGCTTTTGGAATCCGATGCCATCCTTTCTGCTTTTACTCTGGTGATACGAAAGGATACCGTGGACTGTGGAAAGAAAAGAAAAGGGATCCACATTATGCAGTGAAGGTGGGGACTGAGATGCCGTAGGGCTCGGCGACCGCGGATCGGATATCTGGGGCGACTTTTGAGGCAGCGAGGAAAGGAACTGAGGTTCGGAGGGGAGAGTAGCTCGAGAGTGCCAGAGTTTGGTTCGCCCTAAGTCCCCCTCCTACTTTGATTTTTCTCCCCAACCTCACTCTAGCTTGACTTTAATTACTCTTCGTGTGGATCTGTAATAGCCCCAACCCTTCCCGGATTTTACTATCATTTCCTGGCCAGTAGTGACTGTGATAGGCTACAGTTGTTAAACGAACCCCCAGACCAAAGGTTTTCCCGTGATTTTTAAGGCTTTCGGGGACGAGTGAGTATTACAGATCCATGGTGAAGACTGATCAGAAACCACAGGTCCCAGGAAGACCAGGATCTTGAGTTGGTTTGGAAAGCCACTGAATGTTGGTTTAGTAATTTTCGTTGATGTCAATTTTTTCTTTATCAGGGAAAGAAAAAAGATTCCTTTGGTTCCAGAAAATCTCCTGAAAAAGAGGAAGGCTTATCAAGCCCTCAAGGCCACTCAGGCAAAGCAGGCACTTTTGGCAAAGAGAGAGGTAGGTAACTGTGGGGAGCAAGGGGCGAGGGTTATTGGGATTTGTAGTGAGTGGATTTATTAAAGGAAGTTTGTTGAACTGTTATCAGATCTCTCAGTGGTTTCTCCCATATAGTCAAGCTCTTCGTTTAAGCAAAGATTTACCCAGCATCTTTCTGGGAGCAAAATGTTAGAACAGCGTTTAAGGGAAAAGTGAAGACATTTTCTAAGTTCAAATTAAGTGGTAAAACTCCAAATTTGGCAGAAAAAAAAAGACATTATTTTAAAGTCTTTGTTGTTTTTTTATTGTTTGTTTCTTTGACGGGGTCTGAAATACTGTGTGACCAGGCTGGCTTCAAACTAACGGATGAGCCTAATTCGGCCTCTAGAATGCTGAGATTAAATGGCCAACTGTGGGACACTTTTATGATTTCAGCATTCTGGAAGGTTAAGACAGGAAAATGGGGAGTTTGGCTGTATAATGAGAACCCATCTCAAAACAGAATCGTGTGTGTGTGTGTGTGTGTGTGTGTGCGGATTCCTCATATAGTATATACAAGGTTTTTGAATGAAAAGAGAAGAAAATCCTCTTGTGTTTAATGATGGTTAATACAGTGTTGGGTCTCATAAACACTTGTGTCAAATGTTACCAGCATATAAGCTTACCAGAGACTCGTCTTCATAATGTCTTAAGATTTCTCAGTTCTGTCTTGGCTTCCTCGTATGTCCATTATCTGCCCACCTTTGCAGAACATGGGAGAGAGGGGCTCTCTTATTAATGGCTCCTGGGTTCATTGCGGAAGGGAAGAGACGGTGATGTTTGTCTTCTCTGCCATAGAGAAAAGGGAAACAATTCAAGTTTAGACGACTAGAATCTTTCGTACATGATTCCTGGCGGCAGCAACGCGACAAGGTGCGTGTCCAGCGACTAGAAGTGAAGCCTCATGCTTTGGAAGTGCCTGATAAGCATTCCCTGGCCTTCGTTATACGCATTGAAAGGTATGGCACCTGTGTGGTTTCAGAGTCCCCGGGATAGGTAAACGTTTTGTTCAGCTTTAGCTGTTTCTGTAGGGAGATAAAGCCTAACCTACTACAGCAGATGTGCTAGGATTCGAGGGTAGGACCACAGGTGACATGAGGCCAGTCAGTGACGAAGACACTCAGGGTGAAGGTGGGGCTCTTTAGTGATACCCTTTCTAAAGTAGGAGCCACAGCTTCACATGTGACATGAAAGGAGGCCAGGCGTGGGCCACATGCCTTTAATCCCAGCGCCAAAGCACAGATAAACAAGACATGAAGTTTAGTGTTGTTCCTGGACATATGTCTGTGACAATGAAGATACAGGGACAGTGCTAGGAAGCAGTGTCCACACTTAGCAGGCCTCATATGTATCCCCACTCAGATATAGCTGCGTGCCTCTTGGTAGAAAGCTTCTGAGTTTAAGACTTCAGAGCTCTGCTCTCTTGATGCTTCCTAGACTGGCCTCCCTGGCTCTGATGTCCTACTCAGATCTGCTGTGACTGTCCCATGCTTTTACTACCCACCTGCTGAAGCAGTCTGCTTAGGTAGACATACCTGACAGCCCCCACCAATCCATCATTCAGGAACTGTCCTGTAACGACCCAGAGATTGCTCTACAAAATGAGACATGCTCTGTCTCCACTCTGCCTCCCCCCGCACTGAGCTCTTAAGTTGAATTCTGTGTAGCCAGTAACTGTCCAGTATTTCAGAATTTCTTGCAAACAGGCCAGCATAGACTGGGGTCAGACACCTGACTGTTGGTTTCAGGATTGAAGGAGTGAGTTCATTGGTAAAGAGCACCATCATGAAACTTGGCCTGAAGAAGCTGTTCAGTGGAGTCTTTGTCAAGGTCACCCCGGAAAGTGTGAGAATGCTGCGCACAGTGGAGCCTTATGTGACCTGGGGGTGAGTCCCATTTTCCATGTGAATTCCCTCGCACTTAGAGTATGTAAAACACATATACAGGGTATTATTTTCCAAGGTTCATGCTGTGTGTTGGGCATTTTGCTGTGGCCAGTCACCAGAAATAAAGAACCTTAGGCCCTGGGGAGGACAGGTGACACTGATAATGGCCCAGGAGTTTGGGGCTTTCTCAGTTATAGGTTAAGACTAGGTAAGATGAAAGAGCCGGGGATCGATGCTTCTTGAAGCATGGTGGTAGCGATCTGTGCTGGATGTGGTGGCTCACGCCTACATGTCAGCACTTGGAGGCTACAGCAGGGAGGTTGATCTGGATCCCAGGCCAGCCTGAGCTGTGCTGCTGCAAGACTATCAAAGGAAAAAAATATTTTAGAACTAACCATGATGCCTTGGGCCTACAATCCCTGTGCACCAAAGGCTGAGGCAGGAGGATTGCTGCAAGTTTGAGATTAGCATAGGTTACAAAAATAAGACCTGGTCTTAAAGAAAAAAAAGTCTAAATTTTTAGTTATATACTGAAGCCCGTGCTGGGATTTCCAGTTGGCTGGTTAGTTGGCTCACCTCAGCCTTGTGTATAGCTCAGGACCCTCCAGTCTCACTGTCTCAGGCGCTAGAATTGCAGGCATGAGCCACTCTGCTCTTCATCCTTGCCCTCAGTTGTGTCCCCCAGTAGTCCACTCCCTGCTTGTGGGAGGTAGAGGTGGGGAATCCTTTCTCAGCCAGTTCTTAGTGGCCAGTGTCTGCCTTGTGCCTTATGTAGATTTCCAAATCTGAAGTCTGTCCGGGAACTCATCTTGAAACGTGGACAAGCAAAGATCAACAAGAAGACTGTCCCTCTGACAGACAACACAGTGATTGAGGAGCACCTGGGTGAGTGCTGCGGCCTGGGGGTGGCTGTGACTGAGATCCAGGGCATATCCTTGGACCCGACAGTCCCAGCATTTTTTTTTTTTAACTATATCCTGGCTAGGTAATGAACAAAGGAATCTACACCCTCTTGTTTTTCAGGGAGATTTGGTGTCATTTGCCTCGAAGACCTCATCCATGAAATTGCCTTCCCTGGGAAGCATTTCAAGGAGATCTCTTCATTCCTGTCCCCTTTCCACCTGTCTGTGGCCCGTCATGCTACCAAGAATAGAGTGGGGTTCCTCAAGGAGATGGGCTCACCTGGCTACCGGGGAGACCGGATCAATCAGCTTATCCGGCAGCTCAACTAGAGCAGGTGAGGCTGTGCTGCCAACAGTCTACATGCACGAGTGCTGCCAAAGAGCTAAGGAAGAGGGGTGTCTGGGAGCAGAGAACCTAACAGCTCAAAGTCAAAGTTGGTCAAGCTGGCAGCCTGTGTCTGCTCTGGACAGCCTGACAGCCTGCTTTCTCTTTGTTCTGCCTTCTCTGGAGATCTCTAGACAGCACTGTGCTCTGCTTGAGACTGGATAGCTCATCTCTTGCTGATTATAAACACAGCTTTTTATTTTACATATCAATCAGTCAATCCAGACATTTACTCCAGGTTCCTATGAATCGGCACCCCGTGACCCCAGTTCCTTAATTCTTAGGAGACAGCAAATGGACTCTTTTAATTTTGCAAAATAATTCAGAGATATGCCCACTTCTATTAAGCACAGACAGTGAGCTTGCTGGTGGTACCTCATCCTGAACTTACCATTGCTACCACATCGGAGCCTAACCTTGCTCTGTTCCTGTCTGACCCTGGACTCAGGAGTGAGTCTGCCCTTGTAAGCATAGACAACAAAAACAACAAAGCTGAGTGGGCTCTCCTGCGATCACTACTCCCTGAGTCTCTGTCTCCTGCCACATTGACACAGCTCAGTCTGGCTGCCTTTGTTCCATGACCTTCCTGAAGCCCCTCATGTAATTCGTATCACATGAATTTTTGAGAAATTGTATGGTTTTTTTGGGGGGGTGTTTTTTCGAGACAGAGCTTCTCTGTGTAGCCCTGGCTGTCCTGGAACTCACTCTGTAGACCAGACTGGCCTCGAACTCTCCAACTCAGAAATCTGCCTCCCTCTTCCTCCCAAGTGTTGGGATTAAAGGCGTGCACCACCACCGCCCGTCGAGAAATTGTATGTTTTTGAACCCATGTTTTTAGAGTCCTTTTCCACAGCCTTAAAGATTGTCCTTTCGGGCAGTGGTCTCGAAAAACCAAAACAAAACCGAAGTTCCCAGCGTTTACGGTTTTGATGAGACATTAGCCGCGCCTTTGCCTCCCAGACTCATGAGTATCATGATAATGTTGACAGGGAGAACATGCCTGAGGGACGTAAATTATTCTACAGACAGGCTTCACACCCATAGCAGCCATCCACACTCATGGAGCCTCACACCTGGCCCTGTTCCATGGGCAGAAACCGTGTCCTTCTGTCCCTCACGGAGACCATGCCAGACCAGCACTTGTGTGGGTCAGAGATACTTCTCTTTTTTTTTTTTTTTTTTTTTAAGATTTATTTATTTATTTAATGGGTGTGAGGTCACTGTCACTGTCTTCAGACACACCAGAAGAGGGCATTGGATCCCATTACAGATGGTTGTGAGCCACCATGTGGTTGGTGGGAATTGAACTCAGGACCTCTGGAAGAATAGTCAGTGCTCTTAACCTCTGAACCATCTCTCCAGCCCCGAGATACTTCTCTTTTATCAGTTCTGAGAATCTTTATTGGGTAGTGTTCGAGGTAAAAAGTCTCACTCACTGAGCTGTCTTGTCGGCACCTTGTCTGACTTCTGGTGGACCATGGTTGTCAAGTAAAAGTCCCTTGGAGCTGGAGCTATAGTTAGTAGTTGAGAAGTAGCTAAGGATACAAGTTTTTAGACCTAGCACTGCAAGGAGAACAGTTCTTCCTGTGTGAAGGCAGGAACAAGCGTGTTGGCATGTTAGAGGGACAGGGCCTGGCAGCCCTGACTGAGGCCATGGACTAGACAGTGTGTTGCTGTGGGCTTGTAGCCTGCAGCAAAGAAGCCACATCATGAACTAATTCCAGAAGGAATGTGCAGGCCAGTTATCTGTTTTGTTGCAGGAGTCCATAGCCTGGTGCACTCTGATGCTGTAGCTTGCTCAGTCCCAGTTTGAGGTTGGTTTGTTGACACAGCTGTGTTTTCCTTCCTTAGGTTTTCCAAAAGCACACACTGGAAGTGTTTTTGTTGTTTAAAATTATCAAGTATCTTCAGAGAAGATTATTTTCTGTCTTCAAAAATTGAAGAAAGGGACCAGGAAAACAACAGTAGTGTATGAGCATCGAAGTACTTAACACAGCCCAGTTCCATGGAAAGGGATTGTTGGCTGCTCCATGTTGGCTGCTCGTCTCTGAAATCAACGCAGGCTGTGGAGGAAAGAGTTACGATGCTTCATCCTGCCTTCCGTCTTGGTGTTTAATGTTGGGTGGGCAACTAGCTCAGATCTCCCTCCCACCCCCTCCAAGACTCTTAAAGCAGTGGGCCAGACCCACACTTAATCTGGATGAAGAGGGTCTTGGTTTTCCCTTTTATTTTTGTCAGGGTGGGTTGCCTTGTATTTTGTTTGGTTTGTTCAAAGAAGGCTCTCCCTGTATAACCCTGGCTGGCCTTAAACTCCACAGCAGCCCTGCCTCCTCCTCCTCCTAGGTGCTGGGGATTATAGGTATATAAGCCTGGGGGCTTATTCCTCAGACAAGGCAGTTAGAAAGGTGACAAAGGTCATGCCAGTGTCTTGTGGTGTGAGGCTCTGTTGGAACTTCACTGTCCACTTTGTAACCTCTCAGGCCTCCTGTCCCTGGGTCAGTGTAACAGCATTTGTACTCTGACCTTCGGCGATAGCCCTTTCCTATAGCTCAGGATTTAGGGTGGGGACTCACTATGCTAGACAAACATACACACATACATCCATACATTGTACTTAGAACTCTATGATGGTGGTACCCACCATGTTGGCACCCAGAAGTCATTTGTGAGGACAGCCTGCTTATTCTGTGCACACTGGTCTGTTAAGCTTGTCTCATTCTGAGCTGCAAGAGGGACTAAAGTTTAACCACTTGTTTTCTACTAAGAACTAGTGTTTGGCTGGGCCTGGGGATACATACCTTTAGTCACAGCGCTTGGGAGGCAGAGGCAGGCAGAGATCTGAGTTCAAGGCTAGGCAAGCCTGCTCTACAGAGTTCCAGGATACCCAGGGCTACACACAGAAAATGTTAAAGACAAAAACCAATGCAGTGATAGACTTGTTTCCTAAACCACGTGTACCCAGGAAGTGCCCACTACATTTCAAGCTTGGCTTAATGATTCCTCTGTGTACCCTTCCTCAAAACCCATACCAGGGGTCCACATTCTTAACCAAGGTTTGCCTTGAGCTTTCCTGTACCCTTGGCTTCATGGGGCCCTGCAAAAGGTGGCTGTGAAGCTGAGTCGGATATCCGACAGGGCCAGCGGGTGTAGAGTGATGCTTGCCTTCAGTTACAGCACCATAGGGGCAGAGGTGGATGGGTCTGACTTCAGTGCCAGAGATCAGTTAACTATTACAGAGCACTGGGAAACGAGGTGACCAGAAATGCATTGCAGTCTTGGAGAACAGTCATGGCTCTAGAACATTAAGTTAGCACTGTAGTGTTGGGAGTGCTGCCTGCAGTGTGAGAGGCCCTGGATGAGCCGAGCTAAGGCTTCTAAGTTCTGGCTTGCTCAGAATTTAAAGCAAGTTTTTATTTCTATATAGTAAAAGATTATTTTTAAGATTTATTTTTGTGTGTGAGTATATGTTATCAGATTGGGTCCCAAAGTAGCCAGAAAGTGTCCCATGCCCTGGAGCTAGAGTTACTGGCAAAGGAAGGCTCATGGATGTGGAGGTTGGGGCCAGTTCTAGGCTCTCAGCAAAAGCAAATGTTCTTAGTGTGTGCTTCCAGACCCAAAGGTAATTAAAATGCCTATTGTGATGATGCTTGCGAGGCAGACAATGAATTTAAGGCTAGCTTGAGTTATACACCTAAGTCTCAGGCCACCCAGGGTTACATAGGCTCTCAAAAATCATGTGGTGTTGCCCTCCAACCATGAGTTAACCCCCAAACCAGTCGTGGTGCTGTCCATATTGCTGGAGATGAGTCAGGTCTGTTAGTTCCTAACTCCATGGATACACACTGGCAGCTAGCATACTGCCATTTGGGTTTTATAGAATACAAGGGAACGGGGGCTGGTGAGATGGCTCAGTGGTTAAGAGTACTGACTGCTCTTCCAGAGGTCATGAGTTCAAATCCCAGCAACCACATGGTGGCTCACAACCATCTGCAATGATATCTGATGCCCTCTTGTGGGGTGTCTGAAGACAGCTACAGTGTACTTATATAAATAAATAAATAGTTTTTAAAAAAAGAAAAAAGAATACAAGGGAACAACCACTGAGCCTGTTTGAAAGAAAGGCTTGCTGGGGCCGGGCGGTGGTGGTGTATGCCTTTAATCCCAGCACTTGGGAGGCAGAGACAGGTAGATTTCTGAGTTCCAGGACAGCCAGGGCTACACAGAGAAACCCTGTCTCAAAAAAAAAAAAAAAAAAAGACTGCTGGGAAATTTGGTTTGCTGTCACTATGGAGGCAGACCCTGTCTCCAAAAGCAGACTTTGGTAGCCTCAGTGGTTAGAAGCTGTTCACCCAGGCTCAGGGCATCTGACACCTAGCACCTGATTTCACAAGTCTTGTGAAGTAGGGGAGAGTGGAAAGGGGCTCAGGTTGAGAGCACCTGATGTCCCTTTTCTGAAGAAATCCTGGGTTTAGTTCCCAGCAACTGCAGTTTCAGCCTAGGAGATGGCGCAGTGGGTAAGGCACCTGCTGCCAAGCCAGAGCTTAACTGGGAATCGGCGGCATGGTGGGAGGAGGAAGCCTACTCTCACGGGGGGTGGGGCATCAACATCAAACTGCCTCTGCTCCCACTACAGGACTTAGTTGGTTCCAAGAATCAGGTTTTTTAAGATTTATTTTATGAATAGAAGTACACTGTAGCTGTCTTCAGACACCAGAAAGAGACATCAGTTCCCATTACAAATGTGAGTCACCATGTGATGTGTTAGGAATTGAACTCAAGGCCTGTAGAGACCAGAGCCCTCTCTCCAGCCCCCCCAAGAACCAGGATTTCTATGTATCATTCCGGGAAGGAACTTTTTCACCAAACCCAAACGACTGCAAAGCTATATCGGTCTCAGTTTATCCGTATCATCACAACAAGCTGCCCCAGGAGATCGTGCCCTGTTACTGTGACCAGAGGAACTTGTTTCAGTTACACAAATGGACTACAACACAGGATGGAGTTGAAATTCAGCGTCCGAAAACAAAACTGCTGGGCAGCATTGAATCCCCCAGGAACACTGGGTCTGGCTGAGGCAGATGCAGAAAGATGAGGAAAGGTGGCAAGTGTCCAGACGCCCTCCGGATCTCAGCTGCGAGACACCTCGAGCCTCAGGAACCCCTGGGGCCTCCGTCGAGTTGGGCGGCTGGGCTGCCCCTGGACGGCTCCTCGACGGCCGGAGGCTGCGCCCTCGGGTCTAGGGCGGTGGTGCGGGATGAGGCGGCGGAGCCCGCGTCTTCCCAGGGCTTGGGCCTCCGTGGGAGTAGAGACGCGGAGGGTTCGCCGTGGGTCGCAGTGATGTGGCGTTTCTCCAGGCCCGGGAGCTCCTGTCCCTTCTGAACCAGGCGCAGGAGCTCCGCCAGGGTCACCGAGGCAGGCGCCGGCTCGGCAGACGCCAGCGCTCCGCTCGCGCTGCGGACATCGCCACCCACGTCCATGTTCCGCCACCAGCTCGCGCCCGGGAACGGGCCACAAGAACTTCCGGGCGGCGTGGGAGCAACCACCTTCCTGCAAAGGGGAGGGGAGGCCCACACCGTGTCAAGGAACCTAGCCCAGGGTAGACCTCCAGAACCCGAGCTATTTGTGCAGAAGCTGCAGCCGCGGTTAACCTCCAGCTCTCATTCCACAACGGGAGATGTGTTTGGGGTGGGGGGGGCAATAAGTGAACCAAAAAGTGAGGTTTTGCCCCCATTAAGACAGGCGTGGAGAGGCGTGGCTGTAAAAAGCACCTCCCCTCGGCACGTTCAGATGCGCGCGCAGGCTGCGCGATGGACTCGGAGGGTCGTCTTCATCTTTGAGATCGAGTCTTCTCGCGCGAAATTCCAGACTGTGATTTTGCTTTTCCCAACCAAGCGCGCGCTCTTCACATTTGTTAATTCTGGTACTAGTGATCAAATCCCTGGTTTTCGGTTTTGTTTTTGCTGTTGTTTGGGATTTGTTGTCTGTTTTGGTTTTGTGGCAGGCAAGGATTCATCGTCTCCCACAGTGTCTCCCAGCTCTAATGTTCAGGTTTCTAAAGTCATCAAAGCTAGCCTGACAAGATACAGTGGCCCATGTCTGTAATGCCATATGTTCGGGTCATAGAGCCAGCCTGAGCTACATAGTGAAAGAGGTAAATAAATATAATAAATAAACAGCTGGACCTGGCACACCCCAGAAATTAGTAAGTAACGCATACTTGGCAAAAATTTAAAAGCACACAGCAAGGTTGTTTACCCTTCACTGTAAACAACCCTTCACTGAAACCCAAAAGGTGGGTGAGATGGCTCAGCAGGTAGAGCTGTTGAACTTTATCCCCGTCTCCATGATGCTTTCAAGGTCTCCTGTAGCCAAGGCTGACCTGAACTCACAATATAGTCTGTGTGTGTGTGTGTGTGTGTGTGTGCCTGACTGCGGATCCTTGTCTCTGCAGAATTGTAGGCAGGCCCCCCACACCCACCCAGCATTTACCTGGGTTTGTGGGCAAAGTCTGACCCTCACCCCTGCATAGCAGGCGATAACTGCTGACCATCTCCCAAACCCAACTTTGAATTTCTGGCCCTCCACTTCCCCAGTGCTGGGATTACAGGGGTGCTCCGCCATGTCCAGTTTGTGTGCTTTGGGGAATGGAACACAGGAGTTTATATGCATTAGCCAAACACTCTACCAACTGAGCTCCTCCGTTGCAGCGCCTCTTGCACAACGGTCCTCATGTAACGCTGGACCTCTTTAGGGTTTTCATATTGCAGAACTGTGAGAGATCATTTCTTCTTTTCTTTTTCTTTTGGGAACTGAGAGTTGAACCCTGGGCCTTGCGCGTTCTAGGCAAGCACTCTATCACTGGGTTACATCCCGAGCGCAATTTCTTTTCCTTATAAATAAATTACCTGGTGTGTGGTATTCTGTCATAGCACCATAAGATAAAGTGATTTCTATTACTGTCAACTGAAGGCATCTGGGTGCGAGGCGTGACAGACAGCATGTGGCTGTGCACACTGCCCAGGGCTGGGACCACTGCCAGGGACAAAAGTCAAGGGAGTAGGGCTTATGACAGTTTCATTCTCTGTGTACTTTTACAGCAATAGTGTAATGCAGCATGTGATGTGGTGATGTGATGTGGGTTCCATGCTACATGCCAGAGAAAATAAGGAGCCCATGAATTATAATGATTTTAAGTGTATTTGATCCAGTGCTGCGCCGGGCACTTGGGAGGCAGAGGCATGTGTATGTACCCACATGCATGCAGTACTCCAAAAGGCCAGAAGAGGGCGACAGAACCCTTGGTTGTTTAGCCATCATGTGGGTGCTGGGAATTGAATTCTCTGGTCTTCTGGAAGGACAGCCAGTGCTCTTAACCACTGAGCCATCTTTCTGTTCCTGGAAGCCATTATTGAGGGACCTCAGTGATCTCTCCTGTAGCCCCTGCAGCTGTCTCTTCATCCTAGTTTATCCATCTTCCTGGACCTGACAGAGTAAGTGCAGTAGGCTCCCTTGCCTTCCAGCTTTGGGGTCTGGCCAGGAGTGGGAGAGGGCAGCAGGAGGAGAGAAAAGAAGGATAAGACAGGTTCCATTCTGTTTCCCCTCTTCAGGGTGACATTGGCAGCAGCTCCTCCACACAGCCCTCTGGTTTAACATCCCCCTGCCTTGCCTCCTGTGAACCCCCTATCCTTGCTCACGTCTGTCAATGACTCTACTAAATTCTCCTTAGATTTTCCAGAGTCATCGTATCAGTCTTCCCCGCCCTTCCTCACCAACACTAGAAATGGCTCCTTCCAGGAACAGACCTGAACAGGGGGTCAGGATGGAACCTTCCACACTGAGGCAGGGGACATGAACGTGACAAGGGGATCCAGTACCGTGTGAGGAAATCCTGGAGAGATGAGGTGACTGGCTCTGCATGGCCGTGGTGCTTGTTCTGGTGCCCACAGGGGACACACGAGGATCCTTAACATCTGATGGTTTGTATATGCTTGGCCCAGGGAGTGGCACTGTTGGGAGGTGTGGGTATGGGTCTTAAGACCCTTGTCCTAGCTGCCTGGAAGTCAGTATTCTGCTAGCAGCCTTTAGATGAAGATGTAGAACTCTCAGCTCCTCCTGAACCATGCCTGCCTAGATACCGACATGTTCTCACCTTGATGATAATGGACTGAACCTCTGAGCCTGTAAGGCAGCCCCAATTAAATGTTGTCCTTATAAGAGTTGCCTTGGTCATGGTGTCTGTTCACAGCAGTAAAAACCTAAGACAGAAGGTGAAGGTACACTCAGGGTACCTTGATGGTAGCTTGGATTGGCACCCTGGCTGAAGGCTGGCCTTGAGACATCACTGTAAGATCACCAAGGTCCAGTACTGATTAAACGTTCAGCCCTTCCTTTCTTCTTATAGGATTTCATTTTGTAGTCCGGGAAGGCCTTGAACTCACCACCCACCCACCTTAGTTGCTTGAGTGGCGTGAGCTCCCACACTTGGCCTTTCAGATCTCATTTGCAAAAGTAGAAAGGTAAGAGTTAGTGAGTGCGGGGACCTTGAGATGAAGGAGACATTACATATCCCTACATATCTATAATGTAGATATATAGATAGATGTACAGTAACATAAGCAAGAGAGACCCGCCCCGCCTTGACAAGGGGAAAATAAGAACCAACTCTGGGTGTAAGTTGTTCTCCAACTTTCACAAACGCGCGCGTGCACACACATGTAAGTAGAACTGAGCTGGAGGTGTAGCTGGGTTGGCAGAGCATTGGTGTGCATGAAGCCGTGAGTTCTGTCCCCAGCACTACATAAAACCAAGCACAGTGGTGTGATCCTGTAACTCTAGCACCTGGGAGATTGGAGGTGTGAGGGTCAGAAGTTCAAGATGGCAAGAGGGCAGACTGAGCTCCATGAGACCCTGTCTCAGAGACGGGGGTGGGATGGGGGGGGGAGCGGGGAGAGAGAGAAGAGGAGGGGAGAACACAGGACCCTTGGAATGCAAGGTTATCCAAGTTCATTTTCACAGATGCTCATCCGAGACTCAGGATTTACTATGTCGGCTCCAGCACCTGGAAGGGGTGCTAATGTAGTCCGTTGGCTAATTAAAGCCATAAAGTTTTACTAGCAGCCCACAGTTAATAAGCTTGAGATGCTACGACTTCCCTGGCATCCCGTAGACTGAATCAGAATTTTTTGGAGATGAGAAAGCTGGCCTGGGTTTATCACATGAACTCCAGCCACTCCATCCACATTTAAAAGAGCAGAAGACATTTCCCAAGCGAAACCATACAGAGACATGTAGGTGAGCCAGGTGGGGTGGCTCCTGCTTGTAATCCTAGCACATGGGAGGTTGAGGCAGGAGAAGAGTAGTCTAAGGCCAACCTGGGCTACTTAGCAAGATGGGGGGTGGGGCAAGGGAGAGTGCTGAAGAGATGGCTCAGCGGGTAAAACATTTTCCCAGCAAGCCTGAGGACCCGAGTTTGAATCCCTAGCACCCTCTTAAAAGTTGGATATGGTAGCATGCTCTAGAGTCCTAGTGACCTTAGCAAAACAAGAGATGGAAACAGAAGCTTGTGGAGCCAGCCTGGAGTGAGCAATGCAGACACCGAGAGAGACCTGGGGCTGGAGAGATGGCTCAGCGGTTAAGAACACCGGCTGTTCTTCCAAAGGTCCTGAGTTTAATTCCCAGCAACCACATGGTGATTCACAACCATCTGTAATGGGATCTGATGCCCTCTTCCAGTGTGTCTGAAGACAGCTACCGTGTACTTACGTAAAACAACAAATAAATCTGAAAGAAAGAATGAAAGAAAGAAGAGAGACCCTGTCTCAAACAAGGTGGAAGGCCAAGGTGCACACCTGAAGTTGTCCTCCGACTCCATTATGTTCTTTCTGTGCAACTCTTGTTCACAAACCCATCATCCCTGTACATATACAATATGCGCCACACAAAAGAAGGAAAGAAGAAAGGAAAGAAAGAAAAAGAGGCAAGAGGAGGGCTGCCAGCATCCTTCCTTGCTCTAATGGCTAAGGTTGCTGCACAGGTCAGCAGCACTGGACTCCCTGGTCTGCAGTTGATATCACCCTGGTCATGTAGAAGCCAAATACTGAGATTCTTCAAAGGCAGGATCCAGGTTGAGGATACGGCTCAGTGGTAGAGAGTTTGCCCAGCACACATGAGGCTGGCTAGAATAAATGCTCTCAACGATATAACTTAGTTTTACTCAGCCTGGGTTCCTCAGCTAGAAACAGACAGTTAAGGCCCAAGGCAGAGGTTGTGAGCTGCCTGGGTCTTATAGCTGACCTGCAAGTGACAGGTTCAGGTGGATGGATACACGGACATTCTTATTTCACCCTGGGTGAGGCTGTTTGAAGCCTCAGGGGCAGGGAGACCTTCTGGGGCTTCTGGAAAGAGAGAACAGATGTGAGGATCAGGAAGGGGAAGCTTCCAGACTGACTGTTCCCACCATCCAAGAGGGAGGCAAGAGCTAGGCTGGAGATGGGTCGCCCAGCCAGCAGCTGCTAGCACTGCGAATCCTTTTTCTGTCCCGAGGCCCCTCTCCCATCTGCACTGTGGTTGCAGAGCCTGGGTCATCACTTCCCCAGACTGGAGAATGACAGAGGCAGAGTCGTTAGGGACACCTGCCTCCCCTCCTCCCACTCCAGGGCGGGAAGCCACCATGCTGCACCTGGGCCGAGCAAGGCCTGGGAACACATGGAGACTGCAGCACCCAAAGCCACCACCACACCCCCAACCCAGGTCCTTGCACAGGGTCAGGAGAGGGCTGGCAAGTGGCCATTAAAACTGCCCTCCCAGCACAGTGGCACAGTGGGCTGAAGCTGGCATCACATGAGGATAAAGAAGAGGAAGAAATAAAGCTGTGTGTAGAAGAGATAGCAACGTGTAATCCAGTGCCTTCAAGGTCAGGAAGGGCTACTCTGCAAATACTCTCAGGTTAATTAGTTCCTGTGGGCTTTACTCACACCAGACCTGTCTCCTATGAGGGAGAGAAGCTGGAGTGGGTAATATTAAACTAACACACACACGCACACACACACGCACACAATTGTTTTTGCTTTTTTTTTTTTTTTCCGTTTTGAGGCAGGGCCTTGAACTGCAGTCCTGGCTGGCCTGGAACCCTCTGGCATTCTGCCGGAAGGACATGCATGCACCCTAAGCTTGGTTCCAACAGAAAGCAGAATTCAGACGCCATGAACTCTCTAGACATGGGGGCACTGCGCATTCTAGGTTTGAAATTCATTTACTGGTCCCTAAAAACAAAACAAAACAAAAACAAACAAACAAACAAAAGGGCTGCGAGAGATGTCTCATTGGTTGAGAACACTGGCTGCTCTTCCAGAGGACTGTGGTTCGATTCCCGCCCACATGGCAGCTCACAACTATCTGTAAGTCCACTTCCAGGGAATGTGACACCCTTACACAGACATACATGCAGGCAAAACACCAATGCCCATAATAAACAAACAAACACCCAACAACAAAAGACCACAGGCTTGAAAAAGTCAGCAGCCATGCAAGCGTGCTGGACAACAGAGAAGAATTCAAGGCTGGCCTGGGCTGCATGAGAGCCTTTGAAAGTAAGTAAATAAACAAGGCCTTATTCTCCGTGTTACCACCCATTAGGGAATTGCAGCAAAACTATAATGTGATAGCCCTCACATCCACCCACTTAGAATTGCTATCTTGAGTAGGAATCAGCTCGTATTGGTGGCAGAGGCCTGTAACCGAAGCACTTGGGGGATTTAGAGCAAGAAGATGAAGAGTTGGGTCTATCCTGGGCAATGTCATGAGATCCTGCTCAGAAAGAAAGAAAGAAAGAAAGAAAGGAAGAAAGAAAGAAAGAAAGAAAGAAAGAAAGAAAGAAAGAAAAGAAGGAAGGAAGGAAGAAAAAGAAAGAGAAAGAGAGGAAGGAAGGAAAGAAAGAGAGAGAGAGAGAAAGAAAGAAAGAAAGAGAAAAAAGAAAAAGGAAAGAAGAAGAAAAAGAAAGAAAAAGAAGGAAGGAAGGGCTGGAGAGATGGCTCAGCTGTTATTAAGAGTATTTTTTACTCTTCTGGAGCACTTGAAGTTGGTTTTTGTTTGTTTTTTTGTTTGTTTTGTTTTTTGTTTTTTTGTTTTTCAGACAGGGTCTTGTCTAGTCCAGGCTGGTCTGAAATTCTCTTTGTAGTTGAGAATGGCCTTGAATTTCTGACACTTTTTTTGTTTTTCGAGACAGGGTTTCTCTGTGTAGCCCTGGCTGTCCTGGAACTCACTCTGTAGACCAGGCTGGCCTACGAACACAGAAATCTGCCTGCCTCTGCCTCCCAAGTGCTGGGATTAAAGGCGTGTGCCACCATTGCCTGGCTGAATTTCTGACACTTTTGCCTTGACCTCAGTGCTGTGACTGCAAACATACTTCTCACCTGGTTTATGCATGTTCCGGATGGAACCCAGGGCTTCAGGAATGGCAGGGAAGCATGTTATGGGCCGCCTGCTCAGCTCTTTTGAGGCTATTGGGGGAAGAGGGGTGCAACACAGTGGGTCCTCATGTTAAAAAATAAGTACAGCCAGGCATGGAGGGGCACACTTTTAATCCCAGCACTTGCCAAGCAGAGGCAGGTGCATCCTTGGTTTGAGACAAGCCTGGGGTACTATATAGTGAGCCAGCCGGGGCTACCCAGGAAAACGCTGTCTCAAAACCAAATCAGTTCAATACTGCCCTCAACCTTGGCCAGTGAAATTTCTTCTGCAAGGAGGAGCAGCTAATGCAGTCTCAGAACTGGCCTGAATGAGAAGACTGAGCAACAATTGCATGCTTAGCTCCAACTAAGGTGTCTGTATCAGCCCACACACCGCCCGAGGCCCACAGAACATCGTGGAAGCAGGGCTGGAAAGAACATGGGAGCCAACGGATGGGGGAGGCAAGCTGTGAAAATGCTGGCTGCCGCCCTCATGAGCAGACTGCAGCTGTGGCTGCCTGCACAGGATTCTGACAAGACTAGCCAACATTCCAGCAAGCGCTGCTAACTGGACTCACTGGGTTATTAAAAAAAAAAAGAAAAAGAGAGAGACCTCATAAAGGTTGTAGAAAGACAGCTGCGGGATGTGGGGGTAGGGGGGTGGGGGAGGAGAAGTGCGAGTAGATACATGTATGAAATTGCCAAAGAATAAATAAATTAATTACATAAAGAAAAAAACCAACACTTGGGAGGTGGGGGCAGAAGGACCAAGGTCAGCGTTGGCTACAGAGCAAACTCAAGGCCAGCTGCACTGCATGAGACTGTGTCTCCAAAGAACCAAGGTAGGGCCTGGAGGGATGGCTCAGCAGTTAGCAACACATATTCTTCTCACCCAGGACCTGAGTTTGGTACCAAGTACCTATGTCAGGTGGCTCACAAGCCTCTGTAACTCCATCTCCAGGGGTTCAATGCCTTAGACACACACACACACACACACACACACACACACACACACGTACTTAAGAACAATTGTGTGTGTGTTGAGTCAGGGTCTCTCTATGTAGCCCCCGACCATCCTGGAACTCACTTTGTACTTGAACTCACAGAGAACTATCTGTCTCTGTCTCCTAAACGCTGGGATTAAAGGTGTGTGCCACCATGCCGGGCAATGATAAAAATCTTTTGAGACAGGGTTTCTCTGTGTAGCCCTGGCTGTCCTGGAACTCACTCTGTAGACCAGGCTGGCCTCGAACTCAGAAATCTGCCTGCCTCTGCCTCCCAAGTGCTGGGATTAAAGGCGTGCACCACCACCGCCCGGTGATAAAAATTCTAAAAGCAAAAATAAATAAACCAATGAGCCAATCAATTTAATTAATTAAATTAAAAATGAAAAGAGGCTTTGGTGTGGGGACATAGATCAATGGCAGGGCGCTTTCTTAGCCTTCAGGACACCCTAGGGATTCACCCCCGCCCCCAACATAACAATTAAGGTAATAGTAAGAACAGAGGTGGTTGTAACCATACGGCAAGAGGTTTTCTGAGCATCTTTTAAATGATAGGACAGCAGCAGAGGCTCCATGGTTAAGAGCGCTGGCTGCTCTTTCAGAAGACCTGGGTTCAATTCCCAGTCCCACATAAGGCTCACAGCCATTGGTAACTGTAGTCCCATGGGATCCAATGTTGTCTTCTAGCTTCCTTGGGTACCAGACACATACATGCTACATATATATATACATACACATATATACATATACATATACATATAAGCATATATATAGGCAAAACACCCATACCTGTGAAGGAAGAAGAGGAGGAGAAGAAGGAGGAGGAGGAGGAAGAGGAGGAAGAAGAGGAAGAGGAGGAAAGGGAGAAGGAGAAGGGGAAGCTGTTCAACCTTGGCCCTGCCAGCCTCGGCCTTGGGCAGGTCACTCAGTCTGTCTGAGCCTCGGTTGCTCATCTGTGAATTGAAGTAGCTGGAGGGTGACGTAAAGAGCCGCATGTGGAGTCCCCCTGGGCTCTCTGTCCAGTGGATGGCAACTGCTCTCCAGTTGAGCCAGGGACTAGGCTTGGAAATGGCCTTGAGAATCTGGGGCTGGAGGCGCACACCTTTAATCCCAGCCAGTACTCTGGAAGCAGAGGCAGGTGGATATCTGTGATTTGGAGGCTAACCTGGTTTACACAGTGAGTTCCATGCAAGCCAGGGCCACACAGTGAAGACCTTGTCTCAAAGAGAAGAGCCTCTGAGGACTTCGAAGTGTTCTTCAGACAGGAAGGAGGATATGAGAGGGTGGGCACCTAGCTCCTGGGATAGGAGCGGGACACCTGGGTTCCCTGACGCCCCTCCTCCCCAGAAAGAACTAGGGGGTAGGGCCAAGCAGCTGAGGTACAGATGGGCCTGTGGCCTGGGAAGCAGTCTAGGGTAGCCTCCTCCCCTAGCCCACACCTCAGAGCTGCAGCTGGGCCTGTGGCCTGGGAGTCAGACTAGAGGAGCCTCCTCCCCAGCAGGTAGCTCACAGCTGCAACTGGGTCATGCCTTCTCACAAGTGGGCCATGGCGAAGACATGGCTGCTGCTTCTCCTGGGCCTCAGGAGTCAGGCTCTACCTGCAGGTAAGTCCCTCTTGCTTTCCCTCCTTGGCTGTCACTGAGCCCATCCCCTGGTACCAGCTGAGCCTCTACAGCGATGCATGAAATCCACGGTCCTCTGGTTCTGACGTCTCATGTCCTTCTCCAGATGGGGGGTCAGTAGGATCTGCTGTTCGTCTTTGTATGTGTGTGTGTGTGAGACAGGGTTTCTCTGTATAGCCCAGGCTGTCCTGGAATTCACTCTGTAGACCAGAACCTCAGAACTCAGAATCCACCTCCCTCTGCCTCCCAAGTGCTGGGATTAAAGGCGTGCGCCACCACAACCTGGCCCCTGCTGTCCGTCTTGGAAACATAGAGATGGAAAGGCATCCTCTGGCTGGTGATGTAGGCCTGTAGCCCCAGCTCCTCAGGAGGCTAAGATAGGAGAGGACAAAGTTGAAGGCCAGTCTGGGCAACTTAATGAGGGTTTGTCTCAAAAGAAAATGTGAAAAGGGGACAGGGGGTAGAGCCCAGTGGTAGAGCACTTGCTTTGCTAACCTGCATGAAGTTTAGGCTCAACCCCAGAACTGACTCATAAAGGGAAAAAGAGCAAGTTGGAGGGAACCCGCAGAAGTTGGAGGTTCAGGGAGCCAGGCCTGTACTGTGGACTATAGGTGATGCACTATGGGAAACACTGGGAGGTCCTGGACTGTCCTGTTGGCCCTCAGAGGATCAGCTTCCAACAGGACCGGAGTGTCTCAAGTTCTCTTCCAACTTAGGGAAGGTGGCGAGACGGCAGTGGCTTGGCAAGGCTTTTGCTCTAGTTAGCCAAGGAGCAAGCCAAGGATTCCAGACCACCTGAAGCATGGGCATGTACGGTGGGAGTCTTGGACTTTTGAGTCAGGGGTCTACTTGATCTAGGCTCACCCCAAGTGTGTCATGGAGATTTCCTTTACCAGGAGATGGCTCAGGAGGAGGCCTGTGTAGTGAGAGTTCTGGTTTATTTAAAAACCCAGTAATGTTATATGAATATGTTTCTGTTTTAATCCCAGGTATGGGATGTGGGGCTGCTTCAGTTTGTCCACAGCTGATAACTATTTCAGTCTGTGTAGAGGGATGGGGAGGCATGATTGTTGCCAATTGCAGATCTTTAATTCTGGGAACTTGCAGAGGCATAAATAGGAGAGTCCCTAGCCTGGGGTGACTGCAACAATGAAGATTGGGCTTGCCCAAAGGAATTCATCCACCCTAGTCAGCAGGAAGTACCCTATAGAGGACATGCCCCCATCCCACTCTAACCTCTCCATTCTACCCAGTGTTGGGGATTGGAAGGGAGGTAGAGGCCAACTGGCCTGGGCTTTGGAACAGAAGTGCTTGGGGTGTGGAAAAACAATTTGGGAGTCGCTTCAGGAGGCTGAGGTCCCTGGGTCTCACTCCCAGCCTTCTCTAGTCCCTTTGTTTGCAAGGCCTTGGTAATATTAACACAAATAGTATTTCCAAAGCTTGGACTGGAGAGATGGCTCAGTGGTTAAGAGTACTGACTGCTCTTCCAGAGGTCCTGAGTTCAATTCCCAGCAATCGCATGGTGGCTCACAACCATCTGTAATGGGGTCTGAGGCCCTCTTCTGGGACACAGGTGCACATGCAGACTGAGCACTCAAATACATAAAATAAATCTTTAAAAAAAAGTATTTCCAAAGATTACTTACCAAAGCACTACATTACGTATGTATACTCTTCACAGGAGAGCTGGGCCAACCTCAGCTCTGTCTGAGGTCTACCGTGTCATATGGCAAAATTTTGGACATGCTTCATGGCAAAGCCTCTCTGGCAACCTGGGCCATTTCTTTATCCTGGCCACATAAGAGTTCATACTGTCTATTTCCAGTTGTTGATATTGGAGATTTTACTCACATTAAGGAAGCACAGATCTGACTCCACAGGTTGTACTATGATCTCCACAGGCACATGCGCCACCGGCCCCCTGTCTCCTCTCTCTTATGCACAAAAAGTAAATTTTGTTGTTGTTGTTTTTAAGACAGAGTTTCTCTGTATAATCCTGTCTGTCCTGGAACTCACTCTGTAGATCAGGCTAGCCTCGAACTCAGAGATCTGCCTGCCTCTGCCTCCTTAATTTTGGGATTAAAGGCATGTGCAATATAGCCCAACATACAAAGTAAATGCTTTTGTTTTTAAAATATTATAAGAATGTAATTTTTTTTTTAAAAAAAGAAAAGCCAGGTGGTGGTGGCACACGCCTTTAATCCCAGCACTTGGGAGGCAGAGGCAGGTGGATTTCTGAGTTCGAGGCCCTACAGAGTGAGTTCCAGGACAGCCAGGGCTACACAGAGAAACTCTGTCTCGAAAAAACCAAAAACAAAAAAAAGAATGTAATTTAATGGTGGTGGCACACGCCTTTAATCCCAGCACTTGGGAGGCAGAGGCCATCTCTCCAGTCCAGTACATTTTTTTTAAGAGGCGGAAAAAGTAGCTAGAGAGATGGCTTAGTGGTTAAGAACACTGGCTGTTCTTACAGAGGACATGAGTTTCATTCCCAGCACCTACATGGTGGCTCACAACCACCTGTGACTTCAGTCCCAGGGGATATGATGCCCCTTGTAGCATGTGCGAGCATTGCTTGCATGTGGCGCATGGACAGACTTGCTGTGAAAACATTCATACATGTAAAATAAAGTAAAATCTAAAAAAAATAAAATAAATAAAAAATAGAGTAAAACTCCATGCTGAGGAGCAGGGCCACAGCTCTGTTGGGAGAGGTTAATCCCCAGCACTTGGCATGCTGTGTGCTAAGTCTACTCTTTGGGGTGTGTGCCTTCCTGTAATCCCAGCACTCTGGAGGTAGAGGCAGGAGGATCCAGAATTCAAAGTGGTCCTTGACTGCGTGAGGAGTTTGAGGTCAGCCTGGGATTCATTGTAAGACGTCTCAAAAGCAAACCAAAATGAAGCAGAAAAAAAAAATCAGATTTGAATGTAGGAAAAGGTTAACCGTTTGTTTTTTGTTTTGGTTTTGGTTTTTCGAGACAGGGTTTCTCTGTGTAGCCCTGGCTGTCCTGGAACTCACTCTGTAGATCAGGCTGGCCTCGAACTCAGAAATCCGCCAGTCTCTGCCTCCCAAGTGCTGGGATTAAAGGCGTGCGCCACCACCGCCCGGCTTAACCATTTGTTAAGTTATATGATTGCTAGCTCACTCCTATATGGCGATATTCTGTCTTGTCATCTCACCCTGGTGCTAGGGACCAAACCCAGGGCTTCGTGTAGTAAAGAGACTCCTTCATCCGAGTTTCATCGCTTCCTCCTGTCATCTACATTAATTCTCATATTTCATGTGTGTGCATGGGCGGGTGCGTGAGTCTGGCAGTCATAGGACAACTTCCAGGAGTCAGGTTTTTGTCTTCTACCAGGAAGAGGCTCCCAGGTTTGAACTCAGATTTGGAAACGAGCCCTTCCTCAGCAAGCCATCTTGTCAGCTCCTATTTTAAACAGCTCAGCTGAGTGTGCCTCATGCCGTACAACTCACCCGTCCGGCTTCAGCCCCTCACGGTCTGGGATTATAGACGTGGATAGCCACACAAGGCTTGGGTATTTTTTTTTCCCAAGAAGGGATGTTCCAGGTATATTTGAAGCCTCCTCTGCTCTCACCCCAGGTCCTCCTCCTCTCTTCCCCACCCCACCCCACCCCCAGAGGTACCAGCTTTCCTCAGGCAGCACAACATGGTTTATAAAGCTAATGCCTTTCCCACAGGTCAAAGCTCCTCGAAGGCCCAGGCAATGTCAGTCTCAATTTTATAGACCCAGCAGCTGGCAGAGGAAGGAGTCACTGGGTTGTGGTGTGGCACAGCTTTCGTCCTAGCACTTGGGAGGCACAGGCAGGGTCCCAGAGAGAAACCCTGTCTCAAAACGGGTGAGGATGGGGCACAGGAAGGATAGATGAATAGAGGGCAGGAAGAACAGCAGGATGGAGGATGGATGAATTGTAAGAGAAAGGTGGACATAGCTCAGTGAGTCAGAACTCTGGCTGCACAACCATGAGGACCTGAGTTCAAATCCTCAGCACCCATGTGAAAAACTGTGCATCGCTCTAAGTGTGCTTGTAAACACAGCACTGGGCAGAGCCGAGACAGGAGGATCACACTGGGGTCTTCCTGGATACAGACCTAGCTCCAGGTGCAGTGAGAGACCCTGTCCTAAGGGAGCAAAGGGACAGATGATGGAACGGGTCAGTTAATATCCTCCACCAGTCTCCATGCACAAACAGGCAGTCCGTTCATATCCACACACCTGTACATATCCAAACACACATACCACAGATGCAACACACACACACACACACACACACACACACACACAGGAAGTAGAAACTTATGGGTTCTAGGAAAAGTCAGTTGTATTGGATGGTGTTCTGCTGAAGCCAGCACATGAAAGGACACATGATGAAGGATTCTTCGCTAACACACACATGTGTTGGTCCGCCTTACGCTGCATAGCTGAGCTCCATTTGTTGCTTTTTTTTTTTTTCTGCTTCCTTGGACTCATGCTGACTGGCAGAGTGATGTCAGCTGAGACAGACACACGTGCTGAGGCAAGACATATGCTGACGCAAGACCTGTGGTGTCTGGTGGGATAGAAATAGAACTCAACGGACAGTGACGAAGGCTGAGCTTGGTTTGCTGGTACAGCTAGCTGTGCAACGCTTGTGGGCCTCGCATCTTCACTGACCTTCGCTTCCCTGAAAGAGGCACAGCAGACTTCTCCTGGCATCCCTGCTGGTCCCTGCTGCTGATTAGTGCTGAGCCAAGCCTGAGACCAGGCTGTCTCTGCCAGGTTGTGCTACCAATACTGCTAATCCAACACTATTGAACTGAACTCCTGGTGTATCCGTGAAATGTTTTCGACTGGATCGAGCTGCTCCTGCTGACCTGTTAACTGAACTGCTGATTTCCTAATAACATAGACAGGGGTTGCTCCAAAGAACCATTTCTAAATAGGTCCACTTCCCCCGTATCCTTTCTTACCCACTCCCCCTGGTGGGTGGTGGGCTACAAGGGAGTTTAAAGTGTTGAAGAGCCATCATTAAAAATAAGGTTTGAGGGCTGGAGAGACGGCTCAGTGGTTAAGAGCACTGACTGCTCTGCCAGAGGTCCTGAGTTCAATTCCCAGCAACCATGTGGTGGCTCACAACCATCTGTAATGGGATCCGATGCACTCTTCTAGTGTGTGTCTGAAGATAGCTGCAGTGTATACTCATATAAATAAAATAATAAATAAATCTTCAAAAAAAATAAGGTTTGAAAAAATTAAAGTTACACACACTAAAAAGAAAGAGAAGAAGGAAAGGTCTCGGCTGGTGTCTGGCAACTCTGTGGTTCTTTTCTCTTCCACCCTTATCTACTCTTTTTTTCTTTTCTTTCTTTTTTTTTTATTTTTTTATTTTTTTGGTTTTTTTCGAGACAGGGTTTCTCTGTATAGCCCTGGCTGTCCTGGAACTCACTCTGTAGACCAGGCTGGCCTCGAACTCAGAAATCCGCCTGCCTCTGCCTCCCAAGTGCTGGGATAAAGGCGTGCGCCACCACTGCCCATCTTTCTCTACTCTTTCAACCCCTAACACCGCATAGAAGAGAAAAAAAGAATAGGAAGGAGGAGGTGGATGGTATTGTTAGACTTCTGATACTGCTGGTTAGCCGCACCAAGTTGGGGCAGGTTTGCCCTTCGCGAGATCAAGATATCTAATTTCTTCTTTTGCTTTCTTCTTTGTGCATGACTACTTAGTAAACCATGACCAACAGCAACCAACAACCAACCAACAAACAACAACCCCCCACCCACCCACCAACCACCCCCACACGCACCCACACCCCCACTCCCCATCCCCTACCCCATCTCTCGGAGCCCTAGCATTCATACGCCCTCTAAAAAGCCCCCAGAATTCCAAATGTCACACGATTGGAGAAACTATCTGCAGCTGGCAAAACTAAGCCCCCTGCTAGAGCACGGAGCAAAACACAGTCAGCCGCTGTGGAGAATCTGAAGCGGCCCTACATCCCCATGTCCCCACGTCCCCACGTTCCCACGTTCCCACGATGTCCCCACGTCCCCACGTCCCCACACCTGGGATTAAAACGAAAGCACATTCCTACTTCTGTTTTTAAAGAAATCAAAATTCTCACTCTTGCAGGCATCGCTGGCACCCCGTTCCCTTCTCTGGCTCCACCCATCACACTGCTGGTGGATGGAAGGCGGCAGATTCTGGTGGTTTGCCTGGTCCTCGATGCGGCACCCCCTGGCCTTGACAACCCTGTCTGGTTCTCAGCTGGCAATGGCAGTGCACTAGACGCCTTCACCTACGGGCCCTCTCCAGCACCAGACGGCACCTGGACTAGCCTGGCCCAGCTTTCCTTGCCCTCTGAAGAGCTGGAAGCCTGGGAACCCTTGGTCTGCCACACCGGGCCTGGGGCTGGGGGCCAGAACCGGAGTACACCCCCCCTCCAGCTGTCAGGTAGGGATGGAGCCTGGAGTCCTGTCCCTTTCCACACTGTGGGGCCAGGATATGTTGGGGAGGAGAGGGAGGTGCTGGGCGTGAGGGGTCACGAGCATAAGGGCAGACCCTGGCTCCTGTAGAGTGGCTTCATGATTCCTGGGCTTTGCAGCTGTGATATATGGTTCAGGCTCCCTCTTGAGCCTTTAATCCCAGCACTTGAGAAGTAGAGACAGGAGAGGAGGATCAGGAGTTCAAAGCTATCCTTGGCTGTATAGGGAGTTCAAGGCCTGCTTGGGCTGCATGAGACCCTGTCTCAAAAACCAAAGCAAAAGCAAATCTAGGCTCTGATTGTGATTGCTAAGAGATATTAGTAACTTTCAATGGGTTTTTCATAGGTGCATATATACATTTGTTTTATATATATATATATAATCTATAAACAGTTCGTATACATGTAAGCAAAGCCTGTAAGCAAACAATAATTAAAAAAATAAGCCTCCAATATTACCAACTTTACTCTGTGCCAAGCGCTGTTCTACATTTCATTTTCATTGCTTATCTAGTTAGTTAGTTACTTTCCAAGACAGGGTTTTTCACACAGTTTCTTTGTGTAGTCCTGGCTGTACCGGAACTCCCTCTGTAGATGAGGCTGGCCTCAAACTCACAGAGTTCTGCCCATTTATTTTAAGTTTTTAAAAAGGATATATTATTATTTTGAACTCTCTCCTCTCTCTCTCTCTCTCTCTCTCTCTCTCTCTCTCTTCTCTCTCTCTCCTCTCTCTCTCTCTCTCTCTCTCTCTCTCTCTCTCTCTCTCTCTCTCTCTCTGTTTGTGTGTGTGTGTATGTGTGTTTATGGTTTTTTTGAGACAGGATTTTCTGTGTAGCCCAGGCTGTCCTGGAACTCACTATGAAAACCAGCAGGCTGGCCTTGAACTCAGAGATCCTCCTTCCTGCCTCTGCCTCCTGAGTGCTGGGATTACCAGTGTGCATCATGGTGCCCTGCTCCCAGCTTTTTACTGAGGATGCGGGGGGATCCAACTCAGGAAAGCTCCTTAGCAGCTAAGACTTCTCCTCAGCCCAGCAGACCAGGCTGGCTAGCCAGTGAGCCCTGAGGGTCTGCCTGTGGGCACCTCCCCCCCCTGCTGGATGTGGGCCACCATTACTTGTTTGCTTGTTTGTTTTTTTGAGACAGTTTTTTTTTTTTCTGCATAGCCCTGGCTGTCACGTTTCTTTTTTTAAATGGGTCCTGGGGATAGAACTCAGGTCCTATGCTTGTATAGCAAGCGCTGTCATGGTTGAGCATTTGGGTCATCTCAGTAATGCCCTGCCTACAGCAGAAGCTGTGAAAGCGTAGGTTCCTTGTGGGAGGGGACTGCCATGCCTGTCAGGGCTGACTGTCAGGCAGGGCGGTGGGAATGGCTCCTTAGGACTGGCTAACAAGTGGGCACAGGGTTTCCACATATGTCCATATGCCCTGCAAGTTGACCAGGGCTAGGCATAGGTCTGGGACTGTGAGCTGTCAGTCCATTCCATAGTCCTCATTCCCTTCTTCTTCTTCTTTTTTTCTTCTTTTTTTTTCATTCCCTTCTTAACTAACAGGGGAAGCTTCCACAGACAGGACCTGCTCTCAGGAACCTCTCAGGGGTAAGTGGTCAGCGGATGAGGGAGGGATGGTGGCTGGGAACCGAAGTCTGAGTACTGGTACCCAGCAGGTGGCATTCAGCTCTAATTCAACCATGGGTCCCATGAGGTTGGGGACTGAGAAGTTTCCAGTTAAGGAACTGCTTTCCTCGGGGCTAGCCTAGGTTTCAGCCTTCCCTGGGATAAGGTTGGGAATTTGGATCCTAGCCTAATTCCTGGACCCCAGTAAGGCAGTGCCAATGAGAGCGAAAATAAGGGACCTGATGGCTCCTTAGGTAGGGGGGTGACAGGAGGTCTCAGTACGAAAGCCTATGTGTCATTTAATTACCTGAGGTGCTGAGAAGAACACTGACTAATAATCACAACGTCCATTTCTTGCCCAGAGATACTGAACTCTTTCTTCTTTGCATCAGATGCTCATTCCGGACAGCCTGCCTCCCCTGACAAATAAAATGACGGCTAAGCAGAAAGAAGGCACTAATTATTAGCAGTAGAAACTAAGGTTAGACAGACACTAGGAAGGAATCTCCTTGGAGAAGGAGGTGGAGAGAGAGAGAGAGTGGCCAACACAGAGGACAGGCCCTCCCTGTCATGGGCTCCTGGGGACTCCTAATGGCTCCTTCTTCTGCAGAGACACAGCGTCAGGTCCTGCGGTTGAGCATTCTGCGTCTGCTCCTCTTCAAACTGCTTCTGCTGGATGTATTCCTGACCTGCAGCCGCCTCTGTGTGCTGGCGGGCCAGCACCTACGGCCACCGCCCTCATGCAAGTCCCTGCCCCCCACCCACAGAATCTGGACATAGTAATGAGTCTTTGAGCTTAGATCTTACCCACTCCCCTGAGTTCAGGGTGGTGATGCCAGACACTACTGCTCCCTGGGGCAGGAAACGAAAAGCCCTGGCTGTGGGGAGGCCAGCTGCACCCGGATCTCATGATCCACCCCCCCTCAGTGTTCCTTGTTCAAACTGGGGAGGGGTTCTGTTTGTTTTTTCTGTATGTGGTCTGCCTCTTCCTGTAAATAGAGCTATCAGGGACTGGAGTCTTGCCTCCCTTCCCAGGCTGAGACTTTGGAAGGAAAAGGACTATGTCTCTCCCATCAGACAGGGCAGGAGGGTGTGCCCAGTAATTGGGCACAATACAAAAGGCTTATACAACACAAGAACATCACAAAGCTTTTCATTTGTGTGTCTGGGGGACATGGTGTGGTACCAGACATAGACATAGAAGAAGGAGCCATCTGGGTCGGCTCTCTGGAGAAAGAGTGGGAACGTGGAAATTGCAGAGTGAGTCTGGGGTCTGGGGACGGGTTGCAAGGATTCTCTCCTTCCACTACTGTCAGTCGCTGGACAAGTGTCCTTTATGTTTCCTGACCCTGGCAACCTCTGTGAGAGGGCAGAGTGGAGCCAGGGATTCAGCGGGGAGTACTCAGCTTCTAACTTGCACAGACTTGACAGAAGAGAGCAGGGCCAGGATTCCCGGGGCATCAGGATCACATCCAATACTACCAGCAGAAGTCAGTAAATTGCAAACCTATGCACTATTTATTAAGGGTCGTCATTCATTTGACAGATATTCACCCAGCATCAGCTAGGAGACAGGGTTTTACTGCTGTGAACAGACACCATGACCAAGGCAACTCTTTTTTTTTTTTTAGATTTATTTATTTTATGTATATGAGTACACTGTCTGTCGCTGTCTTCAGACACACCAGAAAAGGGCATCAGATCTCATTACAGATGGTTGTGAGCCATCATGTGGTTGCCGGGAATTGAACTCAGGATCTCTGGAAGAGCAGTCAGTGCTCTTAACCACTGAGCCATCTCTCCAGCCTGGCAACTCTGATAAAGGAAAACATTTCATTTGGGCTGGCTTACAGTTCAGAGGTTCAGTCCATCATCATTGTGGTGGGGAGCAGACAGGACGCTAGAGAGGTAGTTAAGAGTCCTACCTGAGGTACTTGAGAGTTCTACATCTGCATCCACGGGCAGCAGGAAGAGAGAGTGAGCCACTAGGTCTGGCTTGAGCTTCTAAAACCTCAGAGCCCACCCTCTAGTGATTGATACACATCCTCCAACAAAGCCACACCTCCTAATAGTGCCATTCTCCATGGACCTATGGGGGCCATTTTTCAAATCACCACATTTGGCTTTGTTGGTTTTCTCTTCTTCCCTAAAGAGAGCCCTTGCATGGAGATCCCACAGAGGAGAAGGAGAGAGGGGTTTACTTCCAATCACATATACTGTCCATAGGAGCCAGAAGTGGAGCTGGAGTTACCGATGGTTGTGAGCTATCAAATGTGGGTGTTGGGTACCCATCCATCTCTGTGAGATTATCTCACAGAGATGAATCTCTGATCTGTAAGCCAGCCCCAGTGAAATGTTTTCCTTTATAAGAGTTGCCTTGGTCATGGTGTCTGTTCACAGCAGTAAAACCCTAAGATACACCTCTGTAGCACCTGGCTCCTAGCAGATGCTGGGTGAATATTGCTGATTCCTTTCTTTCTTCCTCTCTCTTCTGCATCCTTCTTTCCTCTCTTTTTTTCCCTCCTCCTCTTCTGCATTTTCTTCCACTCCTGCTTCTTCAAGACCGAGTCTCACTACATAGGTCTGGCTGGCCTCAAACTCATTGAGAACTTCTTGTTTCTGCTTCCTGAATACCGAATATATGTATACACAGTAGAGAGGCAAGGTCTCTTTAGTTGACCCTTGAATTCTTAACTAAATCTAGAGCTCACAGATAAAGCCTAGTCTACCTAGTCAGCTTTCTCCAAGAAGCCCATCTCCACAGAACACTGGGGTTACTGGTGGGATGCCATTCTTATATATTTATATGGGTTCTAAGGATCTCACTTCTGGTCTTCATGCTTGTGGGATAAACACTTTACCACTGAGCCATTTTCCCAGCCCCATCTCCTGCCTCTTTCTGTGGGTCCTTTGGGAGCAGGGGCACAGCTTCTGGAAATAAAGCTGTCCCCGTCCTCACAGGAATTGATTCTTCCCCCGTGGCCAGGTTCAGGGAGGGGTCCATCTGTTGTTTCAATTCCTCTAGACATTGTCCCTTTCCAGGTGCTGGGCACAGGCTTTAATTAGAGTGTCCCCTCCGCAGCCCTGGGTCCAGAAGTTGAGTTTCTTCAGCTTCAACTTCCTTTGCTCTGCCCCTCAACCTTGTCCTGCTCCAGCCCCTTAAATCACCTCTGTGGCTGAATAATGCTATCTCCAGGAGGAGTTTGGAGTCTTGTGAATCAAGGATGGTGGGCAGCTTCTGGGCCTCCCCAAATCTAACAGAGCCTAGGGCAAGTGGAGACATCCCGGAGGCTGTTTCAATCTTGTGTATTGTGACGTTCCACACACCATAGCCCCATCTAGCCAAAGTGCCCTGATACCAATACTGTAAGTGTCAGGAGCCAAGAATAAAGTCACAGGGCTCAGCTCAACAAACCTCACACCAGAGATTTATTGGGAAACATACAGGACGGTGGCTACCTCTGCTCAGGAGAGTAGCAGCAGAGAACAGAGCAGGAGGCAGGCTTTATATAGAGTTTCTTGGGGGTGGGGTGGAGCTTTCCCGAGTAGCCTGGGATTGGAGAGATTATATGGTCTGATCTTGGAGTAAACTCAGGGATTAGAGAGATTTTGTGGCCTCATCGTGGGCTTCCCCCCACCCCCCACCCCTGACCTGGCCCCTTTCCTCCTCAAAAGGTTGGGAATGGGTGTTATGGCTCTTAGAGAAGTCTGAGGGATGGGGCTTACAGACAAAACTGCTTTAAACTAGACACTACTGACTCCAAAGGACAGGTTGGTTATGGAGGTCTTCGTAAAGGCAGCAAATCCACCCAGTCTTGCAAGGAAACTCGATGGAAACCGAGCTTTATGGACAAAGCCGCACTTGCTAGAAGCTTCCGGGAGTGAGCTCAAGGCAGTTTAAAGCAATGCTGAGAAGTCAGACAGTCCCACTAGGACCAAGGCTGGCTTTGAACTCTTGATCCTTCTGCTTCTTCCAAAAACTGTGGTTCTTCTGCCTTCCAAGTCCTGGTGTTATGGAGGTGCACTATCCCACCTAGCTGATATTGCCCAGTGTGAACTTGGTGCCAGACTGAGTCCAGGACCTCATGCATACAAGGCAACCACTCTGGCGCTAAGGTCTGTGTTCAGCCAGGGAGCTCTCAACAAGGATCTCCTAGTGCCAGGTACCCTGATATCGCAGAGGCAGAAGGGAAATAGAAATGTTCAATACCAGGTTCCTGCCTTTTAGGACCTCAGAATCCAAACAAAGAGCAGAAGAGACTGAGATACCATACCAAAAAAACCGCTGGGATGTTTATCCATTTGTTCTACACACTTCAAGGTGCTTTGTTGTTTTGTTGTTTTGGAAATAGGGCTTCATGTAGCTCAGGCTGCACCCCCTGACTAGCCAAGGATGACCCTGAAGTTCTAATCCTCCTTCTGCCTCCTGAATGTTGGAGTTATATAGGCTTGGACAGGCTTTATGCCAGCCTGGAGACAGAACACCAGGGATTTATACATGCCAGGCAAGTGGAGGCAAGGACCTACCAGTGAGCAACATCTCTAGGTTTGTTTTCTTTTTCTTCTTTTTCTTTCTTTCTTTCTTTCTTTCTTTCTTTCTTTCTTTCTTTCTTTTTTTTTTTTTTGGTTTTTCGAGACAGAGTTTCTCTGTGTAGTCCTGGCTGTCCTGGAACTTACTCTGTAGACCAGGCTGGCCTGGAACTCAGAAATCTGCCTGACTCTGCCTCCCAAGTGCTGGGATTAAAGGCATGAGCCACCACTGCCTAGCAAGGTTTTCTTTTCTAATCCCATTAATTCATGAATTGATTTGAGCTTCCCAACAGGCAAGCCTCAGAGATTAGGAGGATCAGTCTTACCCGTTTATTCCTTAATTCTAGTTTTCATAAAGGGGAAATGCAAAGTTACTGGGCATGGGGCTGTCATGAGTCCCTAAGTATTTATTAGAGTGAGTGCCTGCAATGACAACATTTAAAAGCTGGTATCTAGTGAGGGTTTGCAACTTTACGAAGAAAGCCATGGATAGGGTTGGTAAGTTGGCTTAGTGGTTAAAGGTGGCCACCGTAAAGCCTTAAGGACCCAAGTTTGAGGCCCAGAATCAACATGGTGGAAGGAAGCAACGATTCCAGTTGTCCTCCAAAATAAAGACTTTTTTTTTCATGTATGTATGAATGTATTTGCGTGTATGATGGAAGAGGGAAAATGGGAGGGAGGGAGGGAGGAAGGGAAGAGAGGGCCGTCTTTCCATGCTGGGATGAAAGTCCATGCCTTGGGAAGGAAGTCCTTCTCAATGGGCTGGTATGTAGTAGTCTCGCTGCTTTATGGAAAAGACTTTGGTTCTGGCCTCCCAACTGATTCCCAAAGGGCAGTCTGGGTACCCTTATAGACTGTACGGGAATATATCTTTGGTGAAAGTATTCCATAGCCACTACGTGCTCCCTGCCTTGCGTAGACCTTGAAGGTGCAGATCAAGACTTTTTATTTACCCCTTAAAGGGGAAAAAAACATGAAGTCCAGTGTGGAGGCGCACCTACAAGCAGCTAGATCTCCGAATTCGAGGCCAGCCAGGGATACACAAAGAAACCCTGTCTCGAAGCACAAAAGACAGAAAACAAACAAACCCCTGAAAGATAGCATGTTATCCAGGGCTAGAGCGCCCAAGGCTGGTTCATCCAAGGTATGATGGGGATTCTACCCGTTAGGAACGGAGGCTCCAACCTCTCGTTGATCCTCCGTTAGATGGCGGTGAGATCGCTATAGGGCGCCAAAGCCACCATCTGCTCTCTGATTGGCCAAGATGGAAAAAAAAGATCGTTTTTCCCATTGGCTAGAAAACAGACGCCGAGCGAACCCATTGGCTGCGTCGTCCGCGGGCCTTGGTCCGTTTCGAAAGCTTCTAGAGGCTACGGGGCGAGGGGGCGGGGCAGGGCTCGCCGTTGCCGTGGTTACACCGAGGCACGTGTGCAGTCCCGGAAGCGGCCGGGGGAAGCTGCTCCGCGCGCGCTGCCGGAGGAAGCACTGCCGGGTCCGCTCCGCTCCGGGTCCGGCCGGGCCATGGAGTCCATGTCTGAGCTCGCGCCCCGCTGCCTCCTGCTTCCCTTGCTGCTGCTGCTGCCGTTGCTGCTTCTTCCTGCCCCGAAGCTGGGCCCGAGCCCCGCCGGGGCCGAGGAGACCGACTGGGTGCGTTTGCCCAGCAAATGCGAAGGTGAGGGGGCGGGGCCGCGGGGCGTAGCCAGCCCGGGGGGCGGGAGGGGGCGGGGCCTGTGGGAAGGGTCGTGGCCTGGCAGGTTCTGGGCTGGGGTCTCCCTGGCCCTGCTGGGTGCTGGGACTGTCGGATCATCTAGAGCTTCGAGCTCTTGGGCCGGCCCAGGGGCAGCTGCTCATCACGTCTAGAGGTGGGGGTGGAGGGAAGGTCTCATATAGGAAGCTTGCTTCGAAATTAAGAGTTGGCTAGGACAAGGAACGTGCAGAGGAACCCACTCCGCAGAAACCACCGAAACAGGCAGATGAGGATGCCCTGCCGGCCTAGAAGGCGAAGGGCGAGTTTGAGGAACTGAGAAGGTCCATAGGACGGAGAAAAGGGAACCTGAAAAATTCCCCGTTGTGCTTTCACTACAACCTAATTTGTGTATGGTTTATTTTTGCTTCTTGAGGACGGGCTGGGTTGCAAATATTTATTGGCAGGCGGAAAAGGCTTTTTGAATTACATAGGATTATATGGAGGGGCTGTGAGCCTGTGTGGAGAGAGGAGAGTCGCACTCACAGGATCAAGAGGTCACTTTGTGAGAACACAGAGCGCTGAGGAGACTCAGGTGAAGGAGGTAGATTTTAAAAACTGAGAGGAGAAGGAACTGAGACCTTCGTTTTGTCCCGCTCTTCATTTTTCAGTTTCTTCTCAGACCTTTGCAGCCACTGCCCTTCTTTCTTCATCCTCGAGGGTCCCCTCCCCCGAGTATTCTGAAAATCCATTTTATGTTAATTCAAAACCTGCACCGGGCAGATCCACACAGGCCAGATGTTCCGTAAGCACTGGGAAGTGGGCCTGTTGCTTTGAGACACATTAAGCCTCCCATTTGAGCTGTTAAATGTGAGAATGGGGGCGGGGGACATGGCTCAGTGGGTAGAGCGATTGCCCCATACGCTCGAGGATCTGAGTTCAGATCCCCAAGACAGACTTAAAGAAGCCAGATGCTGCAATGTTCGCGTACCCGTTATCCCAGCACCTGGAGAGCAGCCAGTCTAGCCAAATCATCACACTCCAGGTTCAAGTGAGAAACCTTGTCTGAAGAAAAAAAAAAAAAGAACGGTATTGGAAAGGAACTCTGGCCTCCATGTGCTTACCCACATACGCACACACACACACACACACACACACTACATAGGATTTTTTGTTTTTAAGTGAGACTCACTAGAGTTAACGTAAACTCACTAGAAGATACCTGATAAAAGGTCTCACCTGTGCTAGGATGCATCACTGACACACTTCTCTAGTCTTTGGAGTTTTGCTTCCTTGTTTTCTTTCTTTCTCTCTTTCTCTCTCTCTCTTTCTTTCTTTCTTTCTTTCTTTCTTTCTTTCTTTCTTTCTTTCTTTCTTTCTTCAAGACAGGGTTTCTCTGTGTAGCCCTGGCTATCTTGGAACTTGCACTGTAGACCAAACTGGCCTCAAATTCATAGATCTGCCTCCCTCTGCCTCCAAAGTGCTGGGAGTAAAGGTGTACACCAGAACTGCGTGGCTTTCCTCTCTTTCTTTCTTTCTTTCTTTCTTTCTATCTTTCTTTCTTTCTTTCTTTCTCTCTTTCTGTTTTTCTTTTAATGATTTTAAAGGTTTTTATTTATGTATGTATTTTATGCATATGGATGCTCTATTTGCAATAAGTGCCTGCATGATGGAAGAGGGCATCAGACAGAAGAGAACATCGGATCCCATTACAGATGTTGTGAGCCACTGAGTGGGTGCTGGGAATTGAACTTAGAACCTCTGGAAGAGCAGCCAGGGCTCTTAAAGCTGAGTCATCTCTCCAGCCCCCATCTTTCTCCTTTTCTTATTCACAGTCCAGGAAGCTCATTTCTTTTCCTTAGGAGACATCCATAGACACAGAATCGTGGAGCTGGCAAGGATCTTCTAGACCATAGAAGCCTAAACTTGCCGGGCGGTGGTGGTGCACACCTTTAATCCCAGCACTTGGGAGGCAGAGGCAGGTGGATTTCTGAGTTCGAGGCCAGCCTGGTCTACAGAGTGAGTTCCAGGACAGCCCAGGCTATAAAGAGAAAACCTGTCTCGAAAAACAAAACAAGAAAAAAAAACAAAAACAAAAAAAGCCTAAACTCATTTTGTAATCAGTAGAGATTATTTTCAGTCACGGAGTGACTTGGCAAAGTTTGACCCTCAGGCACCTCTTACTACTGCATTCATTGATGTTTCTTAGTATGCATCGTTATTGTTAATTGCTGACTGTTGTCTGGCTCACAGAGCCTGCCTCCGGGCTTAGTAGTCTGAGTGGAACAGGCCTCAGCACAGAGGAAGGAGAACCTGCCCAGAGAAAGTGGGTGGCAGTCGATGGGGGTCTGGGGTCCATGCCATGAGTCTCCCACAAGTCTGGTTTCTGTCTAAACTGGATCTTACAGGGATAATGGTTCCCAGAGAGGCCCAGTGAAGGCAGGAGCGTGTGTGAGTTTTTCAGAACTTTCTTGGGGAGATTTAATGGAGTGTCAGGAGACTGGGTCAGAGAAGCCTCTAGAGGGCATTAAACACTTTTCCCAGAGCCAAGGGCGCCTCACGCCCTGAGGATGATAGCCTCCTTGTTAATTGGTGACACGCCTTTCTCTTTCACACAGAGGGTCTGCACTGGTGGGGCCTTATTCAGCACCTCCCTGTACCCAGTACTCAGCATAGGGCAGTAGTGTAATAACTGCTCGAGGAGGGTAGGAAGAAATAAGAGAATACTTGCACACAAAGGCTTGGCAGCCAGAGAGAATTATTGGAAACACATGAAGTCAAGAAATAAGACAGCCATAAAACACATCTCAGGGGCAAGTAGAGAAATTTAATATGAACTATTGGATGATTCCCATGAATTTTCTGAGTACCATATTTTATGGTTACACAGAAGTTCATGTTTACAGGAAGCACATTATGATATGTAATTGTTTACAAAGTATAATTGTTGAGATTGATTATTAAATATTAGATACTGCAGGGCAAATCATTAACGGTTGTTCATTGTGAGTAGAAGGATAATATTTTTCATTCTATTCTGTCAGCTTAATGTGCATGAGTATTTTATTATTTTTATTCAAAAATTTTGTTTACATTTACTTATTTGTTGGGCAGCTGGAAGGGTGGACAGGCACATACCGAAGTGTGCCTGTGGAGGTCAGAGGGCTACTTACATGAATCTCCTCTCTTCTCCCACCTGTGGGTCCTGGGGACAGAACTCTGGTCACTGGGTTTGGGAGTGACCCCTGTTACCTGCTGAGCCACCTCTCCGGCTCATTATTTTTTTATTACTATTTTTAAAGATTTATTCAGTGTGTATGTGTGTATCTCCAGACGTGTATGTATGTATGTATGTATGTGTGTATGGATATATGTAGTATGTATGTGTGTGTGTACCTCATTCACTGCAGTGTTTGCAGAGGCCAGAAGAGGCATTGGTTCCCCTGGAGTTAGAGTTAAGTGATGACTGAGCTGCCATGTGGGTGCCGGGAACAGAAGCCAGGTCCGCCACAAGAGCAAGTGCTCTTAGCCACTGAGCCCTTTTACCCAGTCCTGCTAATTGTTTAGGACTAATATTTTTGAGACAAAGTCTCACCATGTAGCTCTGATATCCTGGATTTTGTTATGTACGGAAGGCTGGTCTTGAACTCACAGATCGACCTGCCTCTGTTTCCTGAGTGCCGAGATTAAAGGTTCGTGCCACCACAACTGACTGTGTTTGGACATTTCTTCCGGTCGCCAGTGTTGTTCAGGCTGACCTTGAATTTATAGCCCCCTTGCCTTAGTCCTCATTAGACATACTAGCCTTTTTTTTTTTTTTTTTTTTTTTAATGATGGGATTCCAGGTATATGGATGGGCTGGGAACGGACATAGAACAGTGTACTCTACTTGTGGCCAGGAACTAATTTCCAGACAGAATATTGGTTTGACCAAGGCTAGAAAGGACACCCACCTGGTTTGTTTGGCTGCCTGCTGGCCTCCCAGAAGAACCTCTGTGCACTCAGTGGCCACCCTGTGTCTTCCTTCTCCAGTGTGCAAGTATGTTGCCGTGGAGCTGAAGTCAGCTTTTGAGGAAACCGGAAAGACCAAGGAAGTGATTGACACAGGCTACGGCATTCTGGACCGGAAGGCGTCAGGAGTCAAGTACACTAAGTCGTAAGTGAATAGTGTCGCAGTGGCCTGGCGTGCTGTTTGTTTGCTTTTGTTGGAGGGGGACTGGGGAAGCAGGGTCGTGGTTCCTGTTTTCTTCCATCCAGGCAAGCACACAACAAGGTCTTTGGCCATAATAACAGACACAGTTTGTCCACTGATTCTGCCACTAACAGGTTAGGTGACCTTTATAAGTCCTTTCTCTATGCCTTAAACTTCTCATCTAGAAAAGTGAGACCAACAGGAGACGTGATGACTCCCAGCCACTCGGACCTCGCTATCCAGTGTGATTTATTTAAAAATTGCTGACGTGGAGGGCCGGAGACCCTCAGCTGTTACGAACCTTGGCAGCTCTTCCAGAGGGCCTGAGTTCAATTTCTAGCAACCACATGGTGGCTCACAACCATCTGTAATGGGATCTGGTGCCCTCTTCTGGTGTGTCAGGGACGGTGTGCTCATATACATAAAATAAATAAATAGATCTTTTTTAAAAAAAAAAATTGCTAACATGGGATTACCAAAATTTTGTCTTTTACATACTTAGTTGAGTGAGGCAGAGTCTTTGTAACTGTGGCTGTCCTGCAATTCACTGTGTAAACCAGGCTGGCCTCGAACTCAGACATCTACCTGCGTCTGCCTCCAGAGTACTGGATTAAAGGTGTGTGTCAGCTGGATTACCAGATTTTTATTTTGGCCAATACAAATATAAAAAACAAAAACACCTATGTCAGTTAAGATCATCCTTTTAAAATGACATGAGGTGGGCTGGAGAGATGGGTTAGCACTTAAAAGCACTGTTTCCCCTTTGAGGAGTCCTGGTTCAATTCCCAGCACCACACAATCATCTGTAACTCCAATCCCAGAGGATCCAGCATCCTCCTAAGGCCTGTTCAGGCACTGCATGCACATGCCACCCAGACAAGCATGCAAGCAGAACACCCATACACATAAAATAAAAAGTTAGAAACTTTGAAATGGCACAAGGGCCAGCAGGTGGTTCAGCAGGTCAAAAAGGTTTGTCAGCAAACCTTACACTCACGCAGACATATACACAAGAAAATGGGATTTAAAAGAGCAACATGAGCATGCTGGAGAGAGCTCAGCCCGACGACAGTGGTTCTTAGCCAGGCCGTAATAGTGCGCACCTTTAATTCCTGCACTCGGGAGACAGAGGCCAGCAGATCTCTAGGAGTGCGAAGTTAGCCTAGTCAGTCTAGGACAGCCAAAGATATGCAAAGAAACTCTGTTGTGAAAAATAAACAATGGGACAGTGGTTTCTCCTTCCTGACGCTGCAACCCCTTAATACAGTTCCTAATGCTGTGGTGACCCTGCAACCAGAAAATTATTTCTCTCTTTCTTTTTTTTTTTTTTTTTTTGGTTTTTCGAGACAGGGTTTCTCTGTGTAGCCCTGGTTGTCCTGGAACTCACTCTGTAGACCAGGCTGGCCTCGAACTCAGAAATCCGCCTGCCTCTGCCTCCCAAGTGCTGGGATTAAAGGTGTGCACCACCACTGCCCGGCCTAAAAACATTTTTTTTACATGAAAAAAAAAAAAAAGACATGTTTCGCCATCAGAATGATACATGTCTAGGCACAGTGAGCCTACCCATCTCCCTTCACTTGGAAAAAAGCAGAGGCAGGAAAGTTCCAGGAGGTTTGAGGCCTCCTGGGTCTGCCCAGTGAGTTTTGGATCTCCCAGAGCACAGAGTAGAGCAGGAGGGCAGTGGAACAAAATGGTGTGTACTGGGGACAGTATCTCAGATCTGTTGTCCCAGCCGGGAGGCGGAGGCAGAATCCTAGCATGTTTGTGCTCATGCCCTACTCAGGCATGGTGTCAGTATTAATTACCACTTTGTCAGGAATCCCCTAGGGAAAGGGCCTCTGCACATGTCTGTGAGGGATTATCTAGACTAAGGCTAGCCCCTGAGAGTGCCTGTGGAGATTTATGATTACAAGCCACTAATTATTATGTGGCAAGACTTTTGTCTTTCTAATTTTCTTTCTTTCTTTTTTTTTTTTTTTTTTTCTGGTTTTACAAGACAGGTTTATCTGTGTAGCTCTGGCTGTCCTGGAACTCGGTCTGTAGACCAGGCTGGCCTTCCGCTCATAGGGATCTGCTAGCCTCTGCCTCCCAAGTGTTGGGATCAAAAGTGCATACCACCACATACAGCTGTATTTTTTAGTCTTAAGTAGTGAACTATTAAGTGTACAGAAGCCAGAGTAATAATAATAATAATAAATAATAATAGGTAACAGGTAGGACGGGAGGGAGGAAGGAAGCCAACAAGGACAACATTCAATCAGGTGTCAAAGCTTCCAGGAGAAATCCACTGGGGAAACCCTTAAGGTGGCCAGCTGGAGTTCTCCATCAGAAGTCCCCTGCAAACTGGTGTTCCCTCATGCTAGGCTTCCTAGTAAAAGAACAACAGACAGAAACAGTCAAATCCAGCTCTCACCAGCATCCAGCAGGAAGTTGAGGCAGTCACCTGGAGTTCCCAGCTCAGCTGGCCGTGGCTGAACTTCTGGCTTCTCTTTCTCGCTTCAGACATTTTTGTTTCATGAGATAAGCAGTAATAGCATCTGTTGGAAATAGTTTATCTCTGTGCTCAGAGCACACAGTGCAGAGCCCCCGAGATGAGTCTCTAGGCTGGCCCACTTTATTGTTTTTTCCTCCCTGCCACAGAGTTGGGGACCAGCCCATCCCCAAACAAGATGCCTTGAGGACACTTTGAGAAACGCATGCTGACATGAATGTGCGGTGGGCGGGACAAACCTGCTTTCAGGGTTAGCCTCTCAGAGAGCTGGCGGTTTGCGAGTGTAATGGACATTACGCCATGACCGGTGCTCACCTTGATGTCTAGTCTCCTAAGACAGGGCAACAACCAGCTAGGTACAGCCTGACAGGTAAGCTTGGCCATGCTCAGCGTAGACAGGTCTGCCAGATCCCAGTGGAGAGGCTGAGGTCATGGGGTGCAGGCAAATGATGTGAGAGAAACGGTTGCTGGGTACCTTGTGCTCGCCTTTAATCCCGGCATGGAGGAGGCTGAGGAAGGTGGGTTTCCCGGCAACAGAAGGAAAGCAGCGGCTAACAGTTGGGGATGGCTATAGGCAAAGTGCCTGCTGTGCAAGGGGGGCTTTGACTCTGGTCCTCGGCCCCTACATGACACCAGGCAGAGTGGTGCTCACCTCCGACCCCGGTGATGGGAGGGCCGGGCTGGATGGAGCCCTGAGACTTGCTCCTCAGTCTTGTCCAGAAGGGAAGCTGCAGATTGAGAGAAACCCTGTCTCCAAAAACGCAAAGTGATTAAAGACACATCCGCCTGCTGTTGGTCTCTATGTGTGTGCATATCTGCACATGAGTGCACACACAGGAATTTGTTTGTACACATGGTTAACAGACAGGCATGGTGCCACACGCTTTTAATCCCTGCACTCAGTAGGCAGACGCAGGTGGGTCTCAGAGTTTGAGGCCAGCTTGTTCTACACAGAGAAACGCTGTCTCCTTTTTTTTTTTTTTTTTTTTTTTTTTTTTGGTTTTTTGAGACAGGGTTTCTCTGAGTAGCCCTGGCTGTCCTGGAACTCACTCTGTAGACCAGGCTGGCCTTGAACTCAGAAATCCACCTGCCTCTGTCTCCCAAGTGCTGGGATTAAAGGCGTGCGCCACCACCACCCGACTGAAACCCTGCCTCAGGAAGAAAAACAAGTGGTTAATAAGTTGTTTCTAGGAAGCATTGGGAAAGACCTGTTCATGATGTCTTCACTAATATGACAAGTCTATTTTTAAAAAAGACTGATGCGTTTTACGTTATAGGGAAAAAGTGGAAGTAGCCGAGGTCTTGTCTGTTATGCCTGATGTCCTGGATTTGATTCTTAGGACCACAGATTTTCTAAAAAGTAGGAGCCAGAGGGATGGCTCAGCAGTTCAGAGTACTTGCAAGTCTTGTAGAGCCCCAGCTTCGGGCTGCTTACGACCACCTGTTGCTTTGACACCAGGAGACTCAATGCCTTCTATTGGCTTCCATCAGCCCTGCACACGTGTGGCATATGTGCAAGTGCGTGAGCACACACACGCACAGACACACTCGCATGCATACACACACACACATACGCACAGACACGCATACAAATAGATTTTTTAAAATAAACTGATTTAGGGTTAGGCTCAGTGATAGGCTTTTGCCCTAAACAAACCGAGATACTTGGTTTGATCCCATAGATACTCGAGCACACAGACCCTTCCCTTAGATCTGTTAAAATGTCGTCTCTTTGGTCTGTGTTCCAGCATCTCAGAGCCCCCAGGCCAGATGACCTGTCTTCCTTCCAGCTCTGCCTTCCCCGTTGGTGAGATGTGCAGGTGTCGGGCAGCAGGGCTGGAGGGACGGACGCTTCTCCATGAGGAGGGGAGGGGAACTTAGCACCTCTTCCGCTGCTGTCTCGCAGGGACTTACGGTTAATTGAAGTCACTGAGACCATTTGCAAGAGGCTTCTGGACTACAGCCTGCACAAGGAGAGGACTGGCAGCAACCGGTTTGCCAAGGTTGGCTTTGAGCTTGTGCCTCAGTCTCTTTGGGGCCAGGCCCTCGTGAGTCTGAGTGTGTCTGCTGGTATGTGTGTGGTTGGCAGGTCGTGCCTGGGACCGTCCTCCCTTCCCTCCCTCAGGTTCTAGGATAGCCGTTGGTATTCCTCGCTGAGCCCTGACTCTACAGCAACATGAGGTCTGTTTCTCCGTGTCAGGCACGGGCAGAAAGGCCCCATGTTGGCAGCTCATGTGGGTATCAAAAACACTAGGAGTCAGCAAGATTCTCACAGCAGTGTGAGGAGAGGTGTCGGAAGACAGAGACTTGAAGGTACTACAATTATAGCACTTGCTTCTCGGATGGAACAGGAGGATAAGAGTCAGGAGTTCAAAGGTAGCCTCAGGTACATAGCCAATTCAAATTGGGAGTATATGAAACCCTGTCTTAAAAAAATAAATAGGAGCCGGGCGGTGGTGGCTCATGCCTTTAATCCCAGCACTTGGGAGGCAGAGGCAGACGGATTTCTGAGTTCGAGGCCAGCCTGGTCTACAGAGTGAGTTCCAGGACAGCCAGAGCTACACAGAGAAACCCTGTCTCGAAAAACCAAATAAATAAATAAATAAATAAATAAATAGGTGGGAGAAGTGATTATCACTTCCTTCTGTGAGCCACCCAGAGCCGCCGCCTCAGACGCCTGCTAGGTGCCTGTGTATGCAGCAGCTTTTCCCTGGAGAAGGAGCCAGTTACAGCAGGCTCTTATCTGTTGCATCTTCTGTGCCTGCCACCCACATTTGCCCCGAGTTCCCTTCTGTCTGAGGATGTCCACCATAGCCCGTGAGCCCCCTAAGCATTTCAGGCAGAAGTTTTGGATTTGTCTTTAAAGCTTGTGGATTTAGTTAGTTGATCCATGGTTGCTTCCATAAAGAGTGTTTTAAAGTATTTTCTCCTGCTCAAGTGCAATGTGACTCACCTGTTCATCCCAGAATTTAGGAGCCAGGATGACCTTGAACTTTGGGGCCAGCCTGGGCTACATTGGAGACAAAGAACAAAAAGAAAACAAATTTAAAAATGGTAGCATACTGTTAGAAACAGTTCGTAGAGCATGGGGATGCTAGGTTATGTGTGTGACGTTGTTCACAGAGTCAAGCTGGGACATGAGGTGCAGAGCGGTGGCCAGCACTCAAGACACAGACAGGCAGATCTCTGAGGGTTTGGTTTTTTTATATATATATTTTTTTATCTTATGTGTATGAGTACACTGTAGCTGTTTTCAGATACACCAGAAGAGGGCACCAGATCCCATTACAGATGGTTGTAAGCCACCATGGTTGCTGGGTATTGAACTCAGGACCTCTGGAAGAGCAGCCAGTGCTCTCCAACCCTGAATCTATGAGTGTTTAATCCAGCACAGTTTGCATAGTAAGCTCTTGGCCAGATAAGGCACATAGCGGGATTCTGTCTCCAGAGCAGTGGGGAAGCCACGAGGTGCAAAGCCTCTTACATATTACCACTTACGTGGAAAGCCAGGCGGAAGTGCGTTGGACTTTCCTAGTTTGTTTTTCATGGTATGGAGGTGGAAGCCACAACTCTGCACAAGCCAGGCTGACACACTTATCACTGAGCTCTGCCCAAACCCTGTGTGTGTGTGTCTGTGAGTGTGTGTGTGAGAGAGAGTGTGTATGAGAGAGTGTGTATGTGTGAGTGTGAGAGTGTGTGTGTGTCTATGTGAGAGTGTATGTGTGTGAGAGAGAGAATGTGTGAGAGTGTGTGTGTATGTGTTTGTGTGTGTGAATTCTCTCTAGGAAAGGGGAAACGTGGTCTGGGGACAAGAGCTACCTCGGAAGCCTCTCCAGTTTATTTCACAGCGTAAAGAGTCCATTAACCCTCAGCTGAGCTCTGTTCTTACCAAGGAGAGACACAAGCTAAGAAGAACCTGGAGCCAAGAGGGGTCCGGAGGAGAGCTCCTTAGAGTAATGCATACTGTCGGGAACTGGAGAGCCGGCTCAGCAGTTAGGAGCTCTCACTGCTCTCTAGAGGACCCAGATTTGATTCCCAGCACCCAGGTGCACCAGACGTGCACATGGGGCAGGCAAAACACACATAAAATCAATGAATCTGATTTAAAAGAAAGAAAAAAAGAAAAGGCACTTGCAACCCTTTTTTATCCAAGAAATTTTTACGCCACCCTAGGTATTTAGGAACAACGAATGTATAGACATCAGACAGCACTTAGGCCAGGGAGGTGGTTCTGTGTAAGGTCCTGAATTTGGATCCCAGCACCCATAAAGCTGAATGCAGGAAGATGTGCCTGTTATCCCAGGGCTCCTGTAACGAGGAGGGAGGTAGCCACAGGAGACTGCCCAGAAGCTCCGGAGCCAGCCAGTCTGGCATATACATCAGCAAATGAGAGACCCTGTCCCAAACAGTGTTGAGGGGGAGAGGAGACCCAGCACCCAAGGTTCCTTCTGTCTCTATGTGCACATCCACAAACATAAAGCGTACACCACACCCACAGATCAGAAGTAAACGTTGGCCAAATGTTTGGTATTGTAGGGCACCCTGTCTTCAGTGGGTTTCTTTTTTTTGGAGTTAATTTTTATTTTGGCTTTGTGGTCATGGGCCCTGAGAGCCTCTGCTTTACCTACCTATATCTCCAGTGTGACAGGAGTTTGTGTACAGCCATTTCAGAACATTGAAATTCTGTTCTGAAACCAAGTCCACCTTTACTGAACACTTTCTATGAAACTCAGGTCAGGTTTCTATGAAACTCAAACAGCAGGGGCTTTTGTTTGCTTGTTTTGATATTTGGTTTTTAGAGACAGGGTTTTTCTGTGTACCCCTGGCTGAAACAGCAGTTTAAAAAATTTATTTACTTACTTCTTTCTTTGTTTATGTATTTTTAGCCAGAGTCTCTCTGTGACATAGATCTGGCTGCCCTGAAACTCACTATGTAGACCAGGCTAGCCTCAAACTCCCAGAGATCCATCTGCTTTTGTCTGAGTGCTGGGATAAAGCATGGGTCACCATGCTCATCTTACTTTTATTTTATTTTTTTAATTTTCAGACAGGACCTCACTATACACTCCTGGTTGACCTAGAATTCAATATTTAGAACAGGCTGGCTTTGAACTCTCAGAGACCCATCTGCCTCTGTCTCTGTTTCTGGAATCCTGGGATTAAAAGTCTGAGCTGCCAGTTCCAGCCTTAAACTGCAATTAAAAAAAAAAATCAAACATCATAACATAATACAACCAAAAATATTTATTTGGTATTTACAAAATAAAGAATGGTGATTGGAAACTATCTGAAGTCTTGAATAGGAATGTCTAGCCACTAGGGAAGGTGCCAAGGACATCTTACATTCTGAGAATGAAATCTAAGTTCACAAGGCCAGAGAGCACCTGCAGATAGCTTTGAACATGCAGGGCTGAGAGGACTGCTTGGAGTGTGTGTGTGTGGTCAGGGGCGGTGGAGAGCCAGCCTGAAGAGGGGGAGGGGCCAGGGCCGAGGATGAGCAGCCTTAGATGTGTACACACAAGTGTCAAACACCAGAAAGAGGGAGGTGGAGGCAGGGGTGGCGCTGCATCCCAGGTCTGGTCGCTTCTTCCAGGGTATGTCGGAAACCTTTGAGACATTGCACAACCTAGTCCACAAAGGGGTCAAGGTGGTGATGGATATCCCCTACGAGCTATGGAATGAGACCTCGGCTGAGGTGGCTGACCTCAAGAAACAGGTAAGGGCCCCTCAGCCTGCACTTGTGGGGGTAGGCAGGACTGGCTGGCCACTGAGGAGGGCCACTCAAAGCCATCCCTTTGTTTATTAGAGATAGGTTCTCACTATGTAGCCCTGGAACCCAGTATGTACGTAGACCAGACTGGCCTCAAACTCACAGAAATATGTCTGCCTTTCCATCAAGAGTGTTGGGGTTAAAGGCATGCCCACCATACTGGCACCTTTGTACTTTTGTGGAACATGGTGTTGTAGCCAAATGCCCTTCGAGAGAGTTGGGTGCCTGGCCCCACTAGTCCCTAGTGCTGTCTTCACAGTGTGACGTGCTGGTGGAAGAGTTTGAAGAGGTGATTGAGGACTGGTACAGGAACCACCAGGAGGAGGACCTGACTGAATTCCTCTGTGCCAACCACGTGCTGAAGGGCAAAGACACCAGTGAGTTGGGGCAGGAGGAGGCAGGGTGGTGTTTATCATCTGCCGTCCCTCAGGGGAGGTCGAGAACATGGGGCAGGGAAGTAGAGGGCATCTTAACTCAAGGCGATTGAGGAGAAGACGTGAGTGACCCCAGGCCCAGGAACAGACAGGAGCCTGGTGGCCACGGTGAGGCAAGTGTGTAACACGGAGATGGGTGGAAGACATCCCTGTAGCTGCTCCTCCCAGCACCCCCTTTCAGTGCTGCTCCCAAGCAAGCCGGGTCTGAGGCCTTTCTGCACCTTCCCTCAGGTTGCCTGGCAGAGCGGTGGTCTGGCAAGAAGGGGGACATAGCGTCCCTGGGAGGGAAGAAAGCGAAGAAGAAACGCGGCAGGGTCAAGGGTTCCAGCGGTGGCAGCGGCGGCAGCAAGCAGAGGAAGGAACTGGGGGTCCTGGAGGAGGATGCCAACCCCGAGGAGGAAGACGGTGTACAGAAGGCCTCTCCCCTCCCACACAGCCCCCCGGATGAGCTGTGAGCCCAACTCAGTGTCCTGGAACCAAGACCTCGACTTGAGGGCTGAGGAGCTTGGGATGCCTGTGGCTCCAGCAAGGACAGCCGCTGTCCAGCTTCAGTCTCCTCCCTTGGCTGTGACCTCTTCCTTCCCTTGAACAACAGCAGGAGCTGGAAGGATCTTGGGTGCTGGGAGACCCCCTCCAAAGGGAAGAGGAGGAGGAGGAGCAGAAGGCAGCTCTTTCTATACAGCCCCCTTCATGAGCTCTGGGTCCCACCCAGCATCCCCGAGGTGAAGAGCAGAAGACAGGTACGATGCTCACCAGGGCCCCCTTCACCCAGGATGGACAGAGCCCCAGGAAGGACTCAGTGCAGCCTCCGCAGCCAGGCCTGCCTCTTCCCTCCACCAGGCATTCTCTCCTGCTGGTCCTTGTCGGGTTGTGAATTTCAGAACTTCTTCTAGGATGAACTCAGGAGGTGTGGCACAAAGCAGCTGGACACCAGAGCTAGAGCCACGCCAGAGCCTGCAGAGAGGGCACCTAACCTGACCCCACTGGGAAGCAAAACCATAGCTCCCCGTGTCCACCCACTCCTTCTGAGGGCACCTCATGCTCTGCCCAGCCTGTCTCCCAGGGCTACCAGAGTAAACACCTTTTGGCCTTTCGGTTTGGTTCCTGGGTCCTCTTCATCCTCCAGAGTGTCCCCTCATCGATCTTTTCTGCCTGTGTCCCCCAGTCCTGGGGCCTTGATGGCTGTCACTGTCATTGGAGGCTTAACCTGGCAGTTGCTAGGAGGAACAGGTTCTGGGAGCACCGGGGGTGGTTTGGGGTCACTCAGTGGTTCTCAACCTTCTAACACTGCAGCCCCTTAATACAATTCCTCCTGTTGTGGTGACCCCCCCTACCCCTGGCCATAAAATTATTTTCGTTGCTGTTTCATAACTGTAATTTTGTTCCTGTTATGAATTGTAATGTAAATATTTTTGGAGATGGAACTCTGCCAAATGGATCGTGACCCACAGGTTGAGAACTGCTGGGTTCAAGGTAGGTGGCACGGGGCGAGGCTGAGCACGGTGACTGACCCTGTCCCTCAGCTGGCCCTCACAGCAGCTGCCCATGTTTCCCAAGGTCCTTCCCGCTCTGGGTCCTGGAGACTCTTGCACACTGAGGTCCTGGGCACCTGGCTGCCCTCCTTCCCTCCCTCTCCAAGGCCCTGCTGTCCCTTGTGCAGCGTGTTTACAGGTCGCAGCAGCAGCTCCTGGCCCTCCTGCTGTGTGCTGCCCTTGCCTGATGGTAGACCTTGCTCTGAATTGATCCCTCTGCTCTTCCTAGTGATTGTGCCTGGACACTCCGTCCGCTGGGCACTCATTGTCTCCCCACTGTCCACGGCCACCAAGGCCCCTTCTGTCTATACCCGACACTCAGAAGTTCATATCGAACTGGTGTGGTTTCTTGGCCTTGACCTAATGGTTAATATACTCTAGAAACTTGGGCTGAGGGAAGAAGGTTGCAATTTCAGGTCTTCCCTGTGCTACGGAACTAGTTCATGGCCAGCCAGGGTATGTTAGACCTGCATCATAGGGGGCTGGGGAGGCAGCACATCCTTAGGTGAGGCATGGGAGAAACCCGGTGTTCAGTTGGTCGGGGCAGAGCACAGGAAGCCCTGAGTTCAGCCCCCAGCACTTGCATAAGGAAACCAAGAAGCAGCTGGTGCTTCTTAGGAAGTACCTGCAGAACTCAGCCACCACCGGGAGCCACAGACTCAGACTTTCTTGATCTGATTCTGAATAGGACCTCTTGGGTCAAGTGGGACGACAATTCCTCCTCCGCCCCCTCGCCTTGTTCTCCCCCACCTCCCCACTCCCCTGGGATGGGACCCGGGTGTGGAGAGTGACAGGAAGTTCCTCCTTTGTTGGGGCCTAGGGCGGGCCTTTGAGGTTGAACTAGTTTGGTCCAGCCGTTTCTCCATCTCCAAGGTTGATGATCCCTGTCTAGAAGCAGGACCTGTCCTGGACTTTGTTCTGGCAGGGGATTGGGTAGAGAGGGGGCTGGGCCCAGGGTTAGGAGTCAGGGATTCGGCCTCTGGACCATCTAGTTTGGTCATTTGCTGTCATTAACCCACAGCACCATAGGGCACATCTTCATCCGTCACAGCATCACTGGTACTAAGAGTAGGACAAAGCAGAGCCCTATCAGGACCTAGGGGTGTTGGCCCAGTGACCCAATCCTGGCCTGGCCCAGGCCCGAGGGCAGTGTTACAGGGACTGCTGCACTTTGGCCTAAGCTCTTGCAGGGACTGTTCCCTCCTCCAGAGGACCTGCTATTGCACCCTTGAGAGTGCCCCTGCCACCAGCCCATCCCAGCAGGCCAACCTGGCCCAGTATAGATGGACAGAGGCAGGATTTGGCTGCCCAGGCTGGCTTCTCCGCTATAGAAACCTTTTAATTTGGGTGTTGCCTGCAGTTTTGTAACTTGCCACCCCCAGAAGCATTAGTTGGAACTGGATTTAAGCTGAGTTCCTCTTACCAGAAACCTTTGATAAAAAGGAGAATGGCCTGAAGGCCTTATTTAGGTGAGTCCCATAAAAACCAACTAGACTGGGCCCCCCAGCAGGTTCCTGTGCTTGACCTTTTAGGCACATGGGTGTATTTTTAGTTGACAGGTCTCTCTGGCACAGCCTGACCTAGAACTTACTGGCCAAGGCTGTCCCTGAACTTGTGAACCAGCTGTGTTACAAGCATGTGCCATGCACTACTCATGTGGACCTTAAGCTGAAACCAGGCGGAGCCCACCCCACAAAGGAACAGGACTCTGGTGAAGTCACACTGGGTCTGGGGCTTGTCCTCAGAAATGACTTGCTAGACTCTTAAGCCTACCCTGTAGCAGTGTGATACCATCCGTTTACTGAGGAGCTTGGGTCAAACGCAGGGTCTTGCCATGCAAGGTGAGTGGTTTTACCACCCAGGTATACCCCAGCCCTGCTGGAGGCACTATTTCTCCAGCAGCTTTTAATTCCCTGAGATCTTCCCAGGTCCTCAGGCACACTCAAAGAGGGTTAAGTGACACATCTGTCCTCGAGTGTGTGTGTGTGTGTGTGTGTGTGTGTGTGTGTGTGTGTGAAATGACAGGGAAAATGAAAGTGTCCTGTCTAGCTTTTCAGATTATCCACCCGATCCTTTTGTATGTCCAGGCAAGCCATGGCTGCATAGCAAGACTTCCATTTCAAAAACCCCAAAGTAGGGCTAGTGTGATGGATTATACCTGTAACCCTCAGAAAGCACAGGCCAGCCTGGGCTACGTAGTGAGACCATGTTTCAAGACAAAATTGGCCATCACGATGGCTTGGTGGGTCTTTTCCCTACCATTGAGTCATTACTACATTTTTCTCACCCTCATAAATGTGCCCCAATGCCAGGCGGTGGTGGCGCACGCCTTTAATCTCAGCACTTGGGAGGCAGAGGCAGGCGGATTTCGAGAGTTCAAGGCCAGCCTGGTCTACAGAGTGAGTTCCAGGACAGCCAGGGCTACACAGAGAAACCCTGTCTTGGAAAGAAGAAAAAAAAAATGTGCCCCAATGCACCCACCTCGGTTCCACTGTCTTCCTCTCAAGTCGGTGGTAAACAGATTTGCTCTCAGCACATCAACCAGACAGGTAAATTATTTTCTTGTAGCTTAAGGTAAATAACAAACTGCTTTTTGTGAATAATGCATCCTTTAGTTGGGTGTGGCTGTGCATCCTCTCAGCATGTAGGCAGAGGCAGGAGGATTGCTGCAAGTTCAACATCAGCCTAGCCTATATACAAGTGCTAGACCAGCCAGCTACAGAGAGACCTTGCCTTCCTCCAAAAACAAAGAAAAAAATTGTATCTAGTTTTACAGTTCTACACCTGTAATCCCAGCATTTAGGAGGCTGAAGCAGAATTGCCTGGAAGTGAGACCCTATCTAATGAGGAAAAGCAGTCTAGCCTCTGGAGGTAGTGGTACAGTGTTCAGCACTCATGTTAAGACTGAGACACTGGGCCGGGCCTTGGTAGCGCACACCTTTAATCTCAGCACTTGGGAGGCAGAGGCAGGCAGATTTCTGAGTTTGAGGCCAGCCTGGTCTACAGAGTGAGTTCCAGGACAGCCTCGGGTACACAGAGAAACACTGTCTCGAAAAACCGAAAAAAAAAAAAGTCTAATAGGTTTATCCCCAAAATGTTTTGATACATAGCATTGGATTTACTTGAAATTCCTAAACACAGTTTCACCTCTCTGCTCCTTCACTCCACAGGGACGGATGTAGTCCAGATTTGCCTTGAACTCTGTGTAGCCTAGGATAACCTTGAACTCTGTGTCCTCAGCTCCCAAGCACTGAACTCACAGGCGTGCACCATCACGCTCAGCCTTGAGAGTCTTTCTGAGCCTAGTGTCAGAGACCTGTGTGTAGGGACATTGAGTCCCCAAAGCTGAGCCTGCACAGAACCATTTGAGATTGGCTCTGTGCTAACAAAAAGTTAGCTAACAAAATGTGGGCTGGAGAGATAGGTCAGCCATTAAGAGCCCTATCTGCAGCTAGGGTGGCAGTGCACGTCTTTAGTCATAGCACTCGGGAGGGAGAGGCAGTCGGATCTCTGAGTTTGAGGCCAGCCTTGTCTACAGAGTAAACTCTAGGATAGCCAGGGCTACACAGAGAAACCCTTTCTCACAAAAACCAACCAACCAAACAAAAAAACACTTACTCCTCTGTAGGATTCAATATCCCCAGTACCTACACAGTGGCTTACAATCGTAATTCCAGTTTCAGGGTATCTGATGCTCTATTCTGGTCTCAATGGGCACCAGACATGTACTGACATAGATCAACCATACACATTATAAAAAAGTCACATAACTGTGGGTGACTTCCATCTCCAGGTTTCTCCCTGCACTGGAAAGGTTAAGGGAGAGAAACTCCTTTCTTCTCTTGCTGTAACTAGTCTTTGTGGAGTTGGAAGGGTATGGGCAGGTGGGGAAGGTTTTTCTCCACATCTGAGTCTTTGGTCGCACACATCTTCCAGAACCTGCGTTAGCCCTGCTGGGCTCTTGTCCTTGGTGGGGGAAAAAGAGTGAGTGGATGAACTAAACTGACCCTCGAGTTATGAAGTAATGCTAGCCAGGGTGGGGACGCTGAGCGCCTTTACTCCTGTCCCTGACCACCTCACCCTGTAAGCACCCCCATGGAGAGCAGATAGAAGGCTTGTTATGTTTCCAGGTTGTTCCCCAATTCTTGAGCACAAATAATCTCCTCTCTCAACCTTACTACACCCAGTCTTTAGGAGAGTATAGAATATACAGCCCATGGATTGGAAGGCCCAGGCTTCCTTAGGTAGCTCCAGGCCGGTGAGGTGGGACGGGACGGGCCTGGAGAGATACAGGCCTATCTCCAGGTACTCTTGTACTTGGATGGGCAATTCGGCTTCTTTCTCAAAGACTGCACGATGTCCCGACACAGTGGCTCTCTTTAGTGGAGTGTCCCCTCCACTAAATGATATGTAGTGATAATGTAGACACCTTACTGTGCTGGGCATGGCCTAATTCTGCTTCGGGTGGATTTCAAAGTCTTCTTCCCTTTCCTACTTGGGTAGGGGTGGAATGGTCCCTCATTGCTTTACTTTGTTAGCTCCTCCTGGCTACCCTAGTGCGTCCTATCTGACCTATCTTATTACTGAGAAAGCCACGTCCAGGATTGCCGGGCTGCGCCATCCTCACTGCGGGGGCAGCCTGCCTGGCTCCGGGCCCAGCAGGGGCGTGTCCCTGCGCTCACCTGCCATTGGCCAGGTGGGGCCGCCCTGCCTGAGGACTATAAGTGCGGAGCTCGAGGCCTGAGAGCCAGGCACAGGTCAGGATGGTGGACAGCGTGTACCGTACCCGCTCCCTGGGGGTGGCGGCTGAAGGGCTCCCGGACCAGTATGCGGATGGGGAGGCCG